GGGGGGGGGGGGGGGGGGTGTCATGAATATTCTGTGATAGTACTGAGCCTCGCCCTCTGGTCTATTCATTATTACAGAACACTGGAGAAAGTCTTCGACCGTTTGTGATGAAGTAATCATCACGGTGGCTATGCTCCCAATAAGGGCTTCTGCCGCCCGGCCGGCATCGGGCATGACCCTCGTCCCGCACCATCATAATTTTTCGGTGCTTCGGACTGTCTTTGACCCCCTGGTGTTCCGCCTGGCCTCTTGACCGCTCGGAGTAACCCTCCACTTCGCTCTGTCCCATAGTCTGTAGATTGGCGCATAGAAACCTGGGCCGTCTGGCACGGGAATTCCGGGGGCTGGACTGTCAGAAGTTTGATGGGCCCCGGTCGTAGAGACCCAAGCGGGAGAGAACCCGAAGAATCCACTCGCGAATTCAGCCTATGACATGACACGGTGTTGGTCAACCTGCGAATGGGCTGAGGGGACCAACAACACGCCGCTGCTGCATTAATTCTCTGGGGGACAATAACATTGGAACGCTGTGGTCTCGGCCCGATCTTGCGCACTCTTCTCTCCACGGGGAGCGGCCCCGTGCACTGCGCCTGGACTGGACAGATATGGCTGCGAGCTCCGAACTGCGACACCACACGGCTCTTTATTACACCTGCTAGCCGTGAGGATGCCGGAAGAGTTCTGAGCTGCTTTGCGCTGCTATAAACTCCTGCCTTGCTTGCATTCCCTCCCTATCATCCCCTCTGGCTGTCGCATGCCCGCGAAACACGATCATTTGCTGGCTCTGCGTGTTCACCTTTCGTCTCTTCTCTCCATTTTTGTCTCTCTCATTCCCTCTTTATCGCAACAAGAATGCCTTTGCATATAGCGATTAACCCCGAGCCTAACGGCTCCGCCGGGACGGAGTCGATTGAGCTCACGTCACCTCTCTCCCCTCAAATCTCTCCCACCTTGCACGACGTAAATATCCATGGGCCTGAGGCCTTCAATATTGAAGCTGGCACGTCTGTAGGCACGGATACCGACGACGCCGGTGTTGTGCGCCCCAAGCCCGCCATCGTTGGTGACAAGCTCTCTGTGCTTACCAACATCGAGAAGGGCAGCGAGCTGGATTATCTGTCCCTCCGCCCCCGAGGGTTCAGCATGAAGGCGTCTACGAAGCCAACTCTTGACAGCCCCAGCACCCCACCCAGCGAACACCCTACTCCAAGCAAGGAGAGGGACGGTGGCATCCTCCTACAGGATCAGTCGAACTTCCTCCCGACCAAGCAAGTTGTTATTGTCTTCCTTGGACTGGGTGTGGCCCTGACATGCTCGTTCCTCGAGCAGGTGCGCCTAAATATATCCCCTCCGCTTTCTCCGGACTCTTACCCGTCTCGCAGACCATGATGGCTACGTCACTCCCGATCGTGTCCGCCGCACTGAATAGCGGACCTGCCCAAGCCTGGATCATCACCGCCTATTTGCTGGTCTCGTGTGCCGTGACTCCACTCTCTTCGCGCTTCTCGGACATCTTTGGACGCAAAGTCGTCCTCCTCTTTTGTCTCGCCGAATTCTGGCTCTTCTCACTTGCGTGTGCCGTCGCCCAGACGACGACGCAGATGATAGTCTTCCGTGCTGTGCGCTCGCTTTGCTTGTCTTACACGCCCTGCGGGACGCGCATACGTAATAGGAGACTGATTGTGTTTCTTTCTGCTATTTACGTGTAGTTGGCCGGCATCGGTGGTGGCTGCCTGATCGTGAGTCGGGATTGACATGCTTAGTTTTTACGCGTCCCTGACTTCTTCCGCAGAATCTTGCCCTGATCATCATATCGGACGTGGTTTCCCTCCGCGATCGTGGCAAATACCAAGGTATCTTCGAGATCATCGCTGCCGTCAGCTCAGGCGTCGGCCCGCTGCTCGGCGGAGAGCTGGCGATGATCAACTGGAGGTGCGTTTCCATGTCCTTTTGATTCAAGAGATCATTTGGTTGAACACCCTTTCAGATGGATCTTTTGGCTTTGCGTCATCATGTCTGCACTTGCCACTGTCATTGTATGGAAGATCCTTCCTCTGAAGCACGTCACGGGACATGTCAAGAGTAGGCACTTCCTGCTCCCTCAGGCCCAGAGTCATTGACCATGCCTGTGTTGTACAACAGACAAGATCCTCCAAATTGACGGGATCGGCTGTCTCTTGATTCTCGCCGGCTGTGTCATGCTCCTGGTATGTGATACTCTTCCACAGGGCAATCCGCTTCTTACCCTAATTTTAGCTCGGCTTGAACTGGGGTGGTGTCATCTATGCCTGGGTGTCCGCACCAGTCATCGTGACCATGGTTGTTGGCGTGCTCCTCATGGCGGCATTCATGGTTTTCGAGGCGTACGTGCCACGGATCCCCATCGTACCTAGTAAGTTGCCATCTATGCTCGAACCCGACAGGATGCTCAACACTATATTAGTATCCATCTTCAAGTACCGCACCGTCGTCGGTGTCATCATCCAGACCACTTGCATGTAAGTTTCTGCATTTTCATCCGCCGCTCCCTGATCTGACGTACGCACAGGGGAGGCCTGCAATACTGTCTACTCTTCTACATCCCTCAGTGGTACCAAGTGGTCTACGGACTGTCTTCTCTGCGTAGCGGTCTCATGCTGCTTCCTTATATCTGTGTTATCGCACCTACGGTGCTAATCTGTGCCCAAAGTAAGCTTCCTACTTCCTGAAGGCCGCTGAATCGTCTGACACCGACTAGTCATCGCAATGTACGGCATCTACCGCCCACAGATCTGGCTAGGCGTGTGCATGATGTGCGTCGCTATGGGCCTGTTTACCACAATCGGCACGAGCACGCCGATCTCTACCGTTCTCGGCTACGAGTACGTTTCCATGTTTTTCCGAATCGTCCTCAAGCTGATCTCCAAATTAGAGCACTCTCTGGTATTGCAGCCGGCTGCATCTTCCAAACCACTCTTTCCGCTCTTCAGGGCGTAAGTGCTTTCTCAACAGACTCCGATCTCCTCTGACATACCGTAGGCCGTCCCGCGCCACGAAGTATCCGTAGCCACCGGATTCCGCAACTTTGTCCGTCTGCTCGCCGGTACGATCTTCCTCGCCATCGGCTCCGCCATAATCAACCAATCCGTGAACGGTATCGGTCTGAGCCAAGGGCTCATCACCCAGATCCTCAACAACCCCCCGAGCGTCCATACCCTGCCCGATATCGACCCTGTCACCAGGACGAGGATTATCGACGCCTACCAAGGCGGGTTCCGGACGGTATTCTGGATGCTGCTGGGGAACGCGTGCCTCATGGCTATCGTCTCGTTTACGATGATACAGCATCATTCGCTCAGGAGGGACGATGATGCTGCGCTGAAGGCTGCGGGGCACAAGTTTATGGAAGAGAGGAAGGCGAGGAAGGAAGCGAAGAAGTCGCATAAGGACCTGGAGGCGCAGACGCCATAGTGTTGCTTTTGTCTTTTGTCTTCTTGGACTGTTGTTCCCTTCACTCCCGTACTGCCACTCCTACTGCTACTCTCGCATCCATTTCATCACATCATTATCCTCTGATCCCACTCATGTACCCACGTGTTCCTGAATCCCCATAGACAGATGTGATATCACCTGTAACAACAAAGATGTGCAATGTAATGCCATTTCCAGTTATTTCACCCCACCCCGTCTTAGTATACAGAATGTACGTCAAACTCCCTGCCTCCTACCGAAGTATGTGCTGAGTCTGCCGATCACCCTCAGCTTATCCTCATCCGCTACCAATCGTCCTCCTCCTCCGCCAAGGGCCACTCCCTACTCACCCCCTCCCAAAGCGGGATCTCCCCAACCTCAGGGCACATCTCCACAGACACATACCTCATCCCCCTCCGACTCAAAATCATCCTTCCCAACTGATCAGCGCCAAACCCGTGCGAGCGGAGGATCCGGATACCCTCTAATCCCGGTGCTGGGGGGTCGGTGCCCGCGGGTCTAGAGAGCTGGCGGAAGAGCGAGTCCGGTAGCCTGAGCAGGTCCACTGTGAGCCACTTGAGCTGGGGCATCTGCCGTACTGAGCGGAGGATCACCTCTTCTCCTAAGACGAAGAAGTCATGTTCTGCGAAGACGACCTGGGCGGCGCTCGCCGGTGTCTGGTCGCCTATTCCACACAGGGAGAGGTGGGTGATACGGCCGAAGAAGGTGGGGGCGAGGGGGACAAAGAGGTCTGAGGCGATGTGTGTCCTCGCTGTGAGGAGGTGGAGCGCGCAGCTGGGGGAGGGGCGGAGGAAGGGAAGGAAGAGCCGGAGGTGGTGTAGTGTCGGTCCGCAGAGGGAGACGTTCCTTAGCGCAGGGAGGTGCACTATTGCGCGTTTAGTGTGGAAAGGGACATGCGTCCCGTTCACTGTCTCCTCGAACTTGAGGTTGTCTAACATTAACTGGGTGAGCAAGGGGAGGGAGGAGAGCGTATCCAGGAACTGCTGGATACTGGGTAAGACGACAGCCCATGTCGCGCTCGGGAATGTGAGGTGGAGGATATGCAAGTCTCGGAGGGCCAGCCGGGTCCAGTTGAAGGGTACGTCCAAAAGCCTGAGATCGTGCAGTTCTTCTCCCCGCCCGCGGAGGAGGTCAACACACCACTCGTCGTCGTACGGCGGTGCAGGACAGTCGTAATCATCATCAAATGCGCAGAGCTCGATATCCAGCGCACGCAGGGGCCAAGGGAGGGCAAGAATTTCCGGAAGAAGGAAATGCGCGCATTTCGTGACTGTAAGACTTTGACAGAGGGAGAGAACAGAGTGTGACTGGAGATGTTGCCTGAGGGCGAGGAGGGCGGAGAGCGGGATCTCGCCGGGGTGGATCGTGAGATCTAGTTTGTGCGGTTGGGCACGGGCAACGAAGAGGCTGAAGATGTCGAGCGGGAGAGGGAGGGTGATGTGTGTCCAGAGAGAGGGGGTGTTGAGCGTTAGTTGGCGGAATCGGGTGTTGATGGCGCTGAGGGTGCTGAGGGTGGGCGATCTAGGGGGAGGGGATGCGGGCGGATCGGTCTGCAGCTGCCAGTGGTCACGGTGATGAGGAGGGGCATGGACAGCGAACGAGAATATGTAGATTATGAGCTCGGAGGGAAGCTTGTCGAAGGGTGAGAATCGATTAAATGGGTTAGTATTATTCTTGTACGGTGATTACTATGAGAAGAAGGATGACTCACGACGAGATTGAGTTCTGCATGACGGTGGGACAAAGAAGTGATCAAGTTGTTGCCATATCTTTGTGCCGAGTGGGTGGCAGTGCAGGATTACGAGATGGGATGACGGGTGATCGATCGGGCACCTCAGTCTCTGGTCAAGATGGCCACTCCTTCGAACGGGGAGAAATCGACAGCGACAGATGGACCACCGGCATATGCCACCCCGGAGGCATATGCGAATATCGGAATTCCGCTGTCATCCATTCCGACCACAGCGTCGTACGCCGTCCCACCCTCGGACCATTCCGCACCCCCGGGGTATCCTACCGCGCTCCCAGCGACGTTCCCTGTAGGGAATGGTGACACGCCTCCCCTCGTCAGTCTGGGTGAGGTAGAAGCGCATATACGCATCATCGCTGCCTTCCATAAGAGGAGAGTCGACGTACTCGCTTGCCCTGCATGGGATGGGCTGGGACTGTCAGATGACGCCAAGTGGGGGACGTATGTTGCTAGAGCGGCGTACAGGTTCGATGCGTGGTATGAAGGTGTGATTTCTCGTGATGGAAGACCAGAAGGACTATTGGGAGAGAGGGAAATTCCACCGTTAGACGTGGGGATGATATGGCATTCATACTGTCTCGTGCGTCACTCATTCTACTGTATTCAATACGTGCACTACTCACACTCAATAGAACCCACGAATATACCTCGAAGACACGCTCTCACGCCTCGCTCCACTCTTACACGCAGGCCCATTCCCACTTTCACGCCTGTCAGCAGCACTCGATCCTTCCTCTCTCCTCCCTCTCGACCCTCACCCGGAGACCCAAGCACTCTTCGAACATCTCACAGACCTACCATGGGACGCAGGCCTCAGCGTCACAGGGACAGAACGCGCAAAGACCTCTTGCCCGCAGTGTGCTACCCTCGTAAACGTGCCATGGCTCGCTCCCTCAGAAGAAGGATACGCACAACCAGCGTTCACTGCCACTTGCCCATCCTGTGCGCTCAAGTTCAACCGCGAGTCCCTCGGAGTAAGGAGGTTGTGTAACGACCTAGAGAAATGGATCCAAGAGCCAGGGAACAACTTCTCGGCCGGGACGCTGCTCGACCCTGTCACGGGGATGCCAAACTACGAAAAGTCCCTGGCGTACAATAAGCGGCTATTTAACGTGCGTCCTCCCCCCCCTCCAAAGAACATCGCTAACTCCTTATGCGCCAGTGGTTCTCCGCCGTGTGCAAGTCCAAGCCCGCAACGTGGATCGGCCAGCAAGTAGGCTGGAACATGCTCAAAGTCGAGCTCTGCTGCCGGACGGGGATGAGCATGCTCAGCCAAGTGCCCACCCCGCCCAGAGTACGCAGGGTGTTCAGCATGTACCGGCATCCTGGAGTCGCGTCTGTAGATCTGGTCGGGGCGGTGCGTCGGTCCTGTAACCCCCAGGCTCGGGATGCGCTAACCCAAACCAGACCCTCAGGCAGGGGACGTTCATCCGCGCACTGTACTCTCTCGGTTGGCTCACCCCAGCGCGCTTTGCCGCCGACCCCACTCCCCTCCTGCGCGCTATAGCCCGCTTTCACGCCTGGCTCGACCTCCTCTCCCTCCACCCGGCGGCGTTCCTCGTCCCGACGCTGGATATCGACCTGGCTTGGCATACACTTATGCTCAGTCCGGGAAGGTATAGGAGGGACGTGTTTGGGCTCGTGGGGAGGGTGGTAGAGCATGAGGATAAGGTAGAGGAGGGGGTTTTAGGGGAAGGGTTTGACGCTACTGGCAGGTTGTGGAAGGTTCGCTGAGATAGTTCGTCTTCCCCCCGCGCTGCGGGAGTGGCTAACGTACACAGGCAAGGTTCGGCGTCCCCTACAGCTACTGCGGCTGTCCTCCCAGCACAGCATCAAAACTCGTCGACCGGACCTCTCTCTCCAACATCCGGGCCACTCTTCTCCCCCTCCGCGGGCGGTCAGACAGCGCAGCAAGCGCCCGGAGCACCGCCTCCCTCCCAGGGGCGAACGCGCCCGGCTCAGCGAGCGGGGTACCTCGCCCCACACGGGCAGACCTGGCTCCGGACGAGAAGGACGCCCCGCTCTCCCATGCGAGCGAACATAATTCCATTCTTGTCATCTCGCATTCTCAGTGTGCCAAGGCACGCCAGGAAAGGGAAATGGACATCGCCAAGCGCGGGGAGGCGCTCCGCCGTGCGGCGGCGAAAGGGAAGGGGGACGAGTGGGAGGAAGGGATCGCCCGCCGCTCTCTGGGGCACGAGCCGGCGTTCTTACTCCCTCTCCCTCCTGCAGGGCCCGGGGTGCAGAACGACAGCGCGCTATTTTATCTCCCGTTAGTCCTCTTGCCTCTGCCTCATGCGTGCGTCGTGCGTGCTGACTAGTATGCGGTCGTAGATGGATAATAGACGGCACCTCCCTCGCTGGCGGGAAATGTGCAGCCGGGCTACAGGGCGGGATGTGTGTCGCCGGAGGGGGAAAAGGGTTTTGCGGGAATTTGGGGGCGAACGCTTGGGTGCGTACTTGGTTTTGTTGGCGTGTGCGGCGTTTGAGCTGACGATGTACAGGGAGGGAAGATAGCTAATTCGATGAATAACGCTTAGCAGAGCCATTGGCTGCCGGTGGGCGATCCGGTATCATACACTGGTCTCGCAGTGCGACTCGGGTTGATCTAGAACGTAGAGCGATGCACAGTGCGGGTTTGAATAGATGCATCTGATGTCAAGGTGTATTACGAGTTTGTGTAGAACTGAGCATAAGTCGAAGGTTCTCATGTACCGAGTTTTGGTAGATGAAGACAAATGATAAGAATTATTCATCACGGGATTATGGGGTGTTCTCGTCCGGTTAGCTGTTGGAACGCGCTGCTTTGTCTCTGGATCGTTCCCTTAGTGATGGAAAAGAGGGCTGGTGAATGTTCTCAAGTCATGAAAGCTTGAGCAGCTGGGTGCTTGACCGCATAACGGAAACGGGATCCTTCCGTCGTACCAGAGACAAGAACCAGTGGTTGTATGTACAGCGTATCTGATCCGGGCGAGTTGGTCGACGTCAGACTGGGCCGGGGTCACGGTGTTGGAAAGCCAATCATAGCTTTTGCAGACTTGCTATCGGTCAGAATACCAACCAGGGTGAGGGTTTTAGGCCATGAGAGTTTCATGCTATCGGGAGTGCCGGCTCCCATGGAAGTCAGCGAAAAGAGGCATCGAAATCGTTGGTGGTAATCCACTTGGTGAATCGACTAGCTATAGCACGGTCGAGTCAGTCTCGAGATGACCATTAGGAGTACGTGAGTGCGTGCCTAACACCTGATGGCTCACGCATTCGGGCTGGGGAAATCGTACCCACCGTCGTCGTCTTCTTCAAAATTTTAAGGTTTCCGTGTAAGGATGAGCCAAAATATCCGCACTGTCACATTCACGTGAGCAGCGATCAGCTGCCCAAGCAGGCTGTGCACAGAACGAATAGAACGGATGTCTTCCACATGGGAGGGAAGAGCGGGGCCAGATTGGCGCACCCACGAAGGAGGGCAAACGGTTGATTTCTGCCAACTGAGCTGCGAGTGGTACATTGCCTAGGTTATAAGCTCGGTCGCTGCAATACCGCACCGCTTTCTTCGCCGGACTTGTTCTGATGGAGTACCGTTTGTGGACATGCCGGCTGTCGGCATGGATTTGCCTCCAGAAGAACACAAGGGCAAGCCCATTCATCAGCAGAACGAAGGCGGTATCTTTGAAGGGTCCTTGTCACATCTGGCTCCGAGAGCAGCGGCTTTGAAACCCAGCAGGGCAAAGAAGCTTTGATCCGTGGGGCGATTGGCTACGCATTCATGGCAGCGTTTCGGCACGCTTTTCCGCGCGGAGCAATAGACGAAATCAAATTTCGATGTTCATCCAGCCCGGGTGCAAACTCCCTTCTCTCCTCTTTCTTTCTCTCCACCGACCGACTCGGAGGCTCATCAGCGCTGAGCAGATCTCTTGCCTGGATTGACTTGACCAAGTCGACGGCGTCTAGCACCAGTACAGTGTGCATCCAGGGCAGATCAAGCAAGATCGGTGGCAGTACAGAGCTCTTTGTCCCGGAACGATCAAAGGCTGACTAGCTGGCAACATCTGCTGGATCTCCCCGATCGCGTTGGTGATTTCGGTGCTTGACTAGACGAAACCCCTTCGGAACAGAGTACTGTAGCACAGGCAAGGATAGAGTCTCGAATATTGCCTGAGATGAGTCGTCCAACAGTGTCACTCAGCAAGCGTCGAAGCGCGAAACCACCGATACCGCCGCAGGGTCCAGTCGTCATAGGAAACGACATCGAATTTCTCGGGCACGCACCTGGGCAGGCTAGACGGGGTAGTGGACTGGTCCCAAACATGGCCCGTCCTGGTCCTGGTATGGTTGGCCCGTACGCGAGTCAACAAACGGAGTACGGAAGCATGTCGATGGAGCAACCCTTTTACGGCGGACTGACGCAGGTAATGCACAAGACGAGTCCTGAGTAAGTGTATTTCTTCCGTTCCTCCCGTGATAGGTGGAAGAACGATTGTGTGTTCATTTTTGATCCCATTCATAGATTGCGGGGCCAGATGAGGCAGCTCGGCGCCATGGACGTGGTCGGCAGGCCCTTTGGCGCGCACGGCAACAGGGACATCCGATCCCCTTCCGCGTCTTCTCCAGCCGCACCGCCGGGCGTTGTCCATCCGTACGCGTTCTACAGACGCCCAGACCAAGACGAGCGATCTCCCGGGGAGTTGGCGAGACCCGGATATAAGCTTGTTCCGGTTCCTCCAGACGAAGTTCCTAGCCGACCCACCAGTCCGAAAGGCGAGCCAGAGGCGTGGGCGTTGTACTATCAACAGCAAGCGGTGAGTTGGCTGAACTTTAAATATTGTTTGACCCCCCTGTCTTCTCTCTGCCTCCGTGCCCCACGCGTCCTTTTGCCACACCTGTCACACCCTTACCCATGCATCCGCCACACACGCCTGGCCGTGTCACCTCCCAATCACATTCCGTTGTCTACCGGGATCTTCGCAAGGATTCTTATTGGCCTTTCTGCTTCCATTCTCCCCCTTCTGCCGTTTCTTTACCTCCTTCTCCCCCTCTACATCCGCAAGGCCCCGTTGCTTACTTCCGTTCTTATATCTACCCTTTATCCTAAACAGCAATACTACATGGCCTACCAAAACCACATGTACGGTAAGTCCCCCCCCCTTTTGTGGCCACATCCTCTCCCAGCGCATATACTCACCATGTTCTCCTTCTACAGGTCCAAATCGCCCTCTTGCACCCCCGCCAATGTACGGCTATGGCTACCCGTACCCGCCAGCACCCCCAATGCCCTACCCAGGCGGCCCGCCTTACTACGATGAACGCTACGGCCCCTCGATGGGCTACGGCATGCCCTACTACTATCCACCCCCACACAGTGGACGTTCTGACGGCTCTTACGCATCCCCACTCTCCGAATCTCCACCTCCTCGTCGAGAAACCATCAATCGCACCAAGGATGGCGAACACGTCCCTCGCCCCAGGAACGCGTTCATCTTCTTCCGCTCTCACCTGATCAATTCTGGTACCATCCCTCACAGTCTCGAACCGGACCACCGCAACTTGTCGCGAATTGCTGGCGAGATGTGGAAAAAGCTAACAGCCAAGGAACGGGAACCTTTCAACAAAATGGCCGACGACGAGAAGGCCGAACACAAGAAGAAGTACCCTAACTACCGCTACGCGCCTGCGCAGCGCACCGTCCACCACACGGTCCTCGATGGTAACAGGCGGAAGGTGCACCGTCGGCCCGAGGCTGACGAGCAAGAGAGACGCCGGTGCGCGGAGATGGCCGAATTGGTACACAAGGGAGTCAGTGGCGAAGCTCTCGAGGCTGCCATGAAGGGAAAAGGCCACTTTGCCGACCCCTCTGCTCCGAAGCGTAAGCGCATGCGCTATCGCGAGCCTGACTCAGACGACGACGACGAGCGCCATCCTCAAGTGGCGCCAGCGTACCGCAACTCCGCTATGTCCCGCAGACGTGAAGCTGATCAGAACGATAGGCAGGAGGCTCAGGCGAGTACATCGATATAGCACGAGCCCAGTTGCTGACCGCGATGCAGGTCCCTAACCCGCATTACATGAATCCGCAGATGGTCGGGAAAGCCCCAGCCCCGCCGTTCTACGCTGGACGAGACGCTCCCTCCGCTTTCAGCGTCACTCGCGACGAACCACCTGCGACGCCTTTAGACGGACGTCTGGAGCCCTTCCAGTTGCTCTCAGAACAGAGTCGCCCTCCTTCTGCCAACAACGTACAAGCGAACGGCAAGACTGTGAGCGCTGCACCGAGCGCGCCCATCACGGTTCTCAAGGTCGAGCCGCAAGCCCCAGAGGACCATGAGGCTTCTCCATTGTCTTCGCCTTCCACATCTGCCCACGAGCCAGTCATGTCCAACGGCGATATGTCATATTATCTCCGCGGCATTGCCCAGATGGACGGCTTCCTCACCGCTAGTGGCTGAAGCGCAACCGATCAACTTCTGATAGTTTCTACTTCCAATCTTGCGCCGATTGCTTCTTTGTTTCGAGAATGCACATTCCAATCACGCGATGAAGCGCGTTTGTCGGTTTCTTTCCTGCGATCTCTCCAAACGCACTGTGCCGCGACCTAGTGTCAACGACATCGAGGGTGCGCCTAAAGTACCACTTTTCCTATTTTTTCCTCCCCTTCGAGCCTGGCCTTGCAAACTTGCATCGTCAGTCGACCACTCTGTGCTGTTATCCCAATTCCATTCCATTCCTCTAAGCTTCACTTCCCATGTCCCAATTTCAAACTGACCAAATCGGTCTTATACGCGTAGCCGTCAACCGTATATGGTAGAAACTGTTGTCAATGTTAAACATCTTGCACACGACATATCTCCTGGCTACGCTAGTGGCTCGGACATCTCGCCCCCCAAGCAGCGCTTTATTTTGCTAAAGGCCATCAAACAACTCGTCCCGTCCCTCACAATCCACCCGCATACATGTCCCTGCGCCCTTCATAAGTCCAATATTGGACGCTACTTGCCGCCCGATTACCACACGTTCGTATCTTTCAACACCCCGCAAGATCCACCAGGTGTGTGAATTCGGATAAAGAGTCGCGTGTCCCGCGTTAGCTGTGAGATGGTGTGCGAAGGCTTGCTTCAGAAGGCACTGTTCTACTTCGGGGTAGAAACGCGCGGCTCCTCGCTGCTTGATCAAGTCCGACGTTGAATGGATGACTGCGGACATTGATACAAGTAGGCGACCATACGCGGCCAGTCAAGGCGTCCTGGGGCCAGAACTGGGAGATCTGACCGACCCATCCATAGGCAGAGTTAGTAAATCGTGTCTCTCAAGTCAGCCATGTATGTCAGTATGCCACACAGGTGTCGCAGGCATTGAAGAGTTGTGGCGACGGAGTCTCGGCTTGCTATTGGAGTAAAAGTCCAGACACGCCGCCAGGGACAATCAATCTCGCAAGGTCTTACGACTTGGCAGTCGGACGAGTGAAATATGGACTGGTTTAGGCATTAGCATGATGTATTATATGTGGCATGCTGGGTTGACTGAGCTTACCTGAAGACGGGGTATCATAAGGCGATCAAGTGAATGACGATCATAGAAAAGGGATCGCTAAAGGACATAAGTATCTCATGGATTTCGTGATCCGGACTCGGAATCACAGCAATTTGACCATTAAATAGCTCATTGTAATATAGTGTTATAGTGTTAACAAACCGCCTGGCGACAGAAGCGGCAGAAGCGGTAGAGAGGAGTGACGAGAAGCAGCAAAAAGGTCTCATCATCTCCGCTTCCGAGTAAAGGGCGGGACCAGTGTCACGCGCATGGGACTTGTGAGTGAGTCCGGCAGCGGGCGGAGTCAAACAAACTGAATTGGGGCGGTGTGTGAGAGCCGGACTTTAGATGGTTGCGCCATATACCCGCCCCCGAGGAGTGAAGTGGACACTTTGTCAGGCACGTACGGGTTATTCGGCTGCCCATGTGCGTATTTATCATCTCCCAAGCCCGCAGTGCCCGACCCGGAGGAAATAGCCCAATAAGGGGAATGAAACCATGATGCTGGAATTATGTGAATTATGTGAATTGTGAGTGGGAGAAGTGTGGACGTAATTCTATGCTTGACGGTAACGGAGTTTGGGAGTAATGTCATGTGTGCGCAACTTTAGGGGGGAATGCACACGGTCTCTAATTAGACTTGCAAGTCCGAGGGAGGATCGTACTATTCGGGAGAAGACAGGGGACACACTGGGCCTTGCGCAGAGTATATGCCAACAACTTGTGGTTGTTGCTCATAGCTGTTGGGTGAACACTTGGGAATCCCGTCGGCGGATCTAGTGTCCTTAATGGTAGAGTGATACGTGGCGTGTTGGTGAGGGAGATGATACGGCGGTGGGGAGTTCGTATCAGAAGCAGCTTCTGAAGATTACCAGGTTTATTCACGCGCAAGAAGCGGGATCGGGCAGAGGTACGAGACCCACGCGGTCCTCCCCTGCTCGCGTCACCAGACTGCCCGAAAATGCAATTTAGTAAATAAACACGCGCATGGGGGATTTGCGTGCTAATGTATGGCGCGTCCCTGTGCATCGCCTTGGATGGAAAGTGATCGTGTTGGGTCCAGTCCCAGGGGACCTCAATCTCACCCATCGGGCAATCACGCGTTGTTCCCCAGACTCACGTGCTTAGCAAGCTGTGGCACCCTCTCTCATCATCACACAGAACATCACCAAGAGCTCATCACCGCGCCGCCACCAAGCTCACCATTAACAGTCTACCTTCGTCCAAGTCAGTACCATCCGCACATCCTCGCAAAATACGGACATAAGACGTAACGCCCCAGACGGCCGGAAGAATCCCCGCACCTCTAAGGGAAGCAAGAAGCAAAACAGACAATGGCCGGAAGGACAAAGCTTCCGTGCCATTGTCAACCTCCTTCTGGAACCCTTTGGGGAGCATGACATGAACGGGGGACTCTGCTTACTGCTAGTGCGCAGGGTGGACTGCTGCTCTGGAGGCGTGTGGATAGGTGGATCTGGAGCGTGGCGTGCGTACGTGCGTGCGGGTAGGCGGGCGTGGCGACGAATAATCTGTGAGGAAAGTGAAACGTAGCAACCATAATGTCCATTGTCCACTTTTGCTCAGGTTTCAGACTGATGAAGCTGTCTAGGATTGACGCTAGCGGGTCTGGTAGATAGGCAGCGAGAGATAGAGTCTGAGACAATCTCGGAAAGAGTGGGTTGGATCTGCCTAAGTCCGTTAATACGTAAGTCCCTAAGCGCGTTGCGCTGGTTGCTGCATTGAGTGGGTTTGCCTTTCCTGCGTCGAGAGTTTCAAGGGGGTTCAGCGATAGACGTCAGTGGTATCTTTCGGCGCTCCAATACAAGTCCTAATGCGTAGCAGAACAGAATGTAGAGTCGTCAGACGGTATCCAATAGCCATCGCCATCGTACCTCACGTAGAGGATAGGGCATACATAGGACACAAGAATGGGTTTTCCCGCCCAAATAGGGCTGTTTTCCATTAATAATTAAACCAAATACTAAGTTACCTCGTAGAGTTAAACAGTAAGACAAGAGTTGTTCACACAGGACAGGGACAGGGCACGCAACAAGATAGGGCAACTGTGAGAAAGTGCCGAAGCCTGCGGCTGCGAAGACCTTGGGGTTTGAGAAGCGGGCAGGGGGGCGTAGGGGGTCGTCCGTAGTTAGTTATAGGTGATGGGTGGGGTGGGGAACATCTGGTCATACAACAGTCTTGAGGCTGTTATACAGCATGCCACTGTCCTATATGCGCGTCAGCACGTGCCGCACGAGCAAATCGAGTACTCCAAGCCCACCTTACGTACATATCCAGCTGCCTGCAGCTCAAGTTCCACCAAGAGCAGGCACTAGCATTCCTCCTCTTCCGGCCGCTCCTTCTGCCTGGGAGCAAACTTGTACCCAGGGTACTTGGCCGCATGCGCCTTCTTCCTCTGCAACGCCTCCCTCCTGAATTTCCCCTTTTCCTGTTCTGGCATCTCCCGCCAGTCATGCGATATCCGGAAAGACATCGTACGCTGATCCCTCGGGCCGGAGTAGGCGATCTCGCCTCTCTCGAGCCGGCGAAGCCAGTCTTGCCTGAAGCAGATGAAGGGGTTAGGCGGGCGCGGGACGTAGTCGGGCTGTCGTTGACGTGCTGTCCTGCGATCGCGCTTTGGGGGAGTGGGCTTCTCCAGCGGCTGGACCTGGGGTTGCGGGACGAGGGAATTGGGGTCAACGCACGGGTAGTAGGGGACTGCTACGCCCATTGGGTAGGCGTGAGGGTACGCTGCTGGGGGCTGGAGGAGCCCCGGCTGCTGATACTGCGGGTACACGGGGTAGTAGTACTGCTGTGCGGGGTCCATCGGCCGGGCGAGGAAGGGTGGTGCGGGGGGTAGGATGAGCTGTTGGGGAGGGTCAAATTCCTCTGCATCGGAGAGCAGGCCTCCAGGGGAAGAGGTAAATGACCGGTCCGTTGAGCCTGGGGAGACGGGGGAGCTGCTCAGCGCTGGCGAGGCGGCGGAGGAACAGGAGGAAGAGACCATATAGTACACCCTGTCGTCGTCTGCTGTTGGGATGAGACAGTCATACGACAGCTGAGGGACGGGGAAGGTGAGCGAATCGTCCATTATGAACGCTGGGTCGAGGAAGGGGGGGTCGGGTTGGTAAGGTTCTGCCTGGTAGGGTTGGAGTGAGGGGAGGTTGGGAAGGGTAGGGAGAGCCATGGGCATGGGCATGTGGAGTGGGACGCCGCCTGCGGCAGCCCGGGATGGGGACTGGGAGTGCGGCGCCTCGCTCGGTTGGACGAGCATATCGATGTATTCACCTTGTTGGACGGCTGTTGTATGTTAGTGGGGATTGTAAGAAGAGGAAGGGGGGGAAGATGGCGTACGATATTGTCCTTGAAGTGCGTATATGCGCTGCTGTGCGGCTGTTGAGAGCATGAGTGGAAGTGGTGATGGTGGTATGAAGGGAAGGAGGAAGAGGGAGGGATGCGGCGAGGTAGAAGGGGGAAGGTACGGGGGTGGGGGGATGATGTGAGCGAGATGAGGGCTATCTATATAGGTGATGAGAAATTGAATGAACGGGGATAAGCAGGGCGGGTTCGATTGCCCAGTCTGGATCTATATTCAACATTATTACATTTGAGACCCATGCATTTGAGCGCCGACCCACTTTATCATGCTGGCATTTTACTTCACTTCAAAGTGGGTCAAGCGCCGGTCTATTCCATTTTCAGCCAATGAGTCTCGCAATAGAGAAGCAAAGGGGACTCACTTCCTCACTCATGGGACATTGCCACGCGCACAGTCTCAACCTTCTTGTGGCAGTGACATACTCAAGAACCTAAGATCATCGGGCCATTTCCTTTCTCGGTCAACGCGGGCGAGGAGGCGACTGACCCCCCTCTCATCACCTCATCTCATCAACGTCTGCAACACCCCAGACCGACCGGATGAGTATCCCTTCCTAGTTATATCTATACTGTATACTCATAACTAGTGTTTCCCACATTCTTCTACTACTGGGTCTCGTTAGATAACAACTCCAGTCCCTCTTCATGCGAAAACAGAATGCACTAGCGCGATACGGCAAAATATCAGCTCCCACTCACATCCCATCCCGCAATATCAATCTAATCACATCAACCCACACCCACACACCCGCAACTGCATTGAGCAACCCCCATCAGCTCGGGCGAGGTCCATCAGCCCGGTGTCTTCATCCGGATTTGGCGCGCTCTTGACATAGTGGACGTGCGGCGACCCTCTCCTCCCCTTGGCTGAGCTACCCTGGAGGAAACTAATCCTCTCGTGATGTGACAGCGAAACAGTGCTTCCAGTCAATAGGCTAAAGCGTGTGAACCCTTCGAAGTACCCTGCGTGCCGAGGAGCGAGGAGGCAAGAAGCGCATAAACGGGCCTGAGGCTTTTAGGTAAACGGGCGTAATCCGTCGTTATTATCCCCCGCCGCTTCTCTCCTCCGCTTCCCCTGCGGTGTGGGTCTACTCGGCTCTCCAGGTACTCCACATATGCATCGAATGATCGGCTTCCACCGCCTAGCATGAATTATTCATTAATTCGGTCTGTCACAGTATTATGCATGCTGGCGGATCACGTATATGCATACGCATGGCATTGTAATGCTTGGGGGAAACTGCTCGGGTTAGGACCCGCTTCCGACTCCGGTTCATTGTTCCCCCTCCTTCGCGTGACCGGCCGAGTCAGCCCGTTTCCCCTGGTCAGGGTTTCCTTCAATTTCTCGCCCGTGACCTCCGTTTTCCCCTCGTGTGCAACCTCTTCAAAGTACTGCACTCGTCAGACCATCCGTTTCTCCCGATCCTTTTTGGGCTTGGACTTGATTAACCACCAAGTTAATTGCTTGCACCGCTTACGGACTTTAGCTGTCACGCTCTGCAAGGCCCGCTTTCTGGTATCCGTAATTCCAGGCACCGTACGCAGGGAAAGGATGCGCTCCCATCCCTCGATCAAAGGTGCGCCCTATCCCCATCCCCCCCTGCTACCCTACGATCCGCCCTGGTAGGCTACCGGGTGCTGGGGGTATCGTTGCTGTTGAGTACAATACGGTGCTCATCGTCCTTCAGATGGCTGGTTTAGGGAGATAAACGCCCAATGGCCTGGTCCGTCCTCCTCCTGCAACTCAAAGACGTAACCTAACACCGACCGCTGGCAGGCCAAGCGATGACACTCAAAGTAGACCGTATCCTGCACACCGAGCAGTCGCAGTACCAAGACGTACTCGTCTTCCAATCCGAGAAGCATGGGAACGTGCTCGTCCTGGACAGCGTAATCCAATGCACAGAGCGGGACGAGTTCTCGTACGTCCCCAACGGGTCCTCCTAACCCCACCACCGGCGGCGCTCACGTTACCTAGGTATCAGGAAATGATTGCCCACTTGCCGCTGGCGTCCCATCCCGATCCGCAGAGGGTGCTCGTCATCGGCGGCGGGGACGGCGGCGTCGTCAGGGAAGTCCTGAAACATGTTTCCGTCCAAGAGGTCGTCTTGTGCGATATAGACGAGGTACGTCACTCTCATTAACCTCTTGCTTACGGCTTGCATCTCAATCTGCATCTGCATCTGTATCCACATTTTCATCTCGAATATTCGCACTTTGGGTTTGCGGAGGTAACCTCGGCTCCGGCCTTTGTCCTCTCCTGCCTTTGTCGGACTGTGGGTTAGCCATTGTCCTCCCCTCCTGTTTCACTATTTTCCTCTCCATTCCCCGTTGCTGGGTTTCAGCATGCTTCCGCCTTCCCCGCCGGTCTATCGCTGGCATTCCCGGCCGGAGGGCGAGGCTATCTCACAGACAGCCCCATCCCCGGTGGTTGCCCTCCAGCGATCCCTAAGCGCCCAACACCTTCTGTTCCTGTCCAGTTTTTCTTCCTTATCTCCCTCCTTCTGTTGGTCGTCGTCGTATCCTTGCTCACAGGTTCTGCGGTTGGGATGTAGGCCGTCATCCGGGTTTCTAAGCAGTTCCTCCCGCACATGTCTGCCCTCCTCTCCGACCCGCGCGTGACGGTGCACATCGGCGACGGGTTCAAGTTCCTCGCCGAAAAGGTCTCGCAATTCGACGTGATCATCACTGATTCCTCGGACCCCGTCGGGCCCGCAGAGTCCTTGTTCCAGAAACCCTACTTCCAGCTCTTGCACGATGCCCTCCGCCTCGGGGGCCATATCAGCACGCAGGCAGAGAACCCCTGGCTACACCTGCCCCTGATCTCTGAGCTCACAGCGACCGTAAAGCAGATCTTTTCCACAGCTGAGTATGCATACGCCAGCGTCCCAACCTACCCGAGCGGCGGTATAGGCTTCCTCGTCGCTTCCAAATCCCCGGGAAGGGACGTCAAGCTTCCGCTGAGGGACGTCCCGCACTGCCGGTACTGGAACAAGGCCGTACACTCTGCGGCGTTCGTCGTGCCCGAATTCGCCCGTGCCTCAATCGAGGAGGGCAAGGACCTCCTCCCGGACCTCACCCCAGCCCCGACCCAGGGAAAGACCCGCAAGGTCCTCCTCCTCGGAAACGGCTACGTCGCTGGCCCCGCTGCGGAGTATATCCTCCGTGACCCGCGCAACGAACTTACGATTGGTGAGGGGTTCTTTGAGTATACGCTGAGTGTCCCTAACTCCTTCCTCCCTCCCTTCCTCCGCCGTTCCTTGGGTCTTCTATCTCGTCCTTCTCTCCTCCTCGCTGGTCTCCCACGTCCCCGGGCACCGTACCACTAGGCTGCCGCACGCTCGCAACCGCCCAAGCCCTCTGTGCCAACCTTTCCCGCGCAACGCCAGTCTCCGTGGACGCGACCAGCCCCGCCTCGCTCGACCCACTCGTCGCATCACACGACCTTGTCGTCAGCCTCATCCCTTACATACATCATGCCGACGTGATTCGCTCTGCCTGCCGCGGTAAGACGAACGTGGTCACTACGTCCTATGTCTCGGATGCGATGCGCGCCCTGGAGCCGGAGATCAAGAAGGCCGGAATTGTCGTGATGAACGAGATTGGTCTTGATCCGGGCATTGATCATCTCTATGCTATCAAGACGATCGACGAGGTGCACGCTAAAGGCGGCAAGGTATGCTCATCGTCCCTTCTCCCTATGGCCATGCTCAATCAGATAGGTCACTGGCTTCCTCTCCTACTGCGGTGGTCTTCCCGCCCCGGAATGCTGCGATAACCCGCTCGGTTACAAGTTCTCCTGGTCGTCCCGGGGTGTCCTCCTCGCGCTGCTCAACTCGGCCAAGTACTACTTTGAGGGCAAGCTCGTCCAGATCCCCGGGAGGGACCTCATGTCCTACGCCAAACCGTACTTTATCACCCCAGCGTTCGCCTACGTCGCCTACCCGAACAGGGACTCGTCTGTCTTCCGCGAGTTCTACCATATCCCCGAAGCGCAGTCCGTCATCCGCGGCACGCTCCGCTATCAGGGTTTCCCTCAGTTCATCAAGGCGCTTGTTGAATGCGGATTCCTCGATCAGAGCGAGAAGGACTACCTTGGCAGGTCAGCGGCTCCCCTTCCCTGGAATGAGGTTACAATGCGTGCTTTGGGTGCTAAGGGCAGCTCGGAAGAGTAAGTTCCAACTCCGCCTGCTTTTAGAGCGGAGCACGAAGCTGATTCCGCTTGTTTGTTTTCTCTCATCAGGGACCTTATCAAACAGATCAACGTTGCTTGCGAGTTTGAAAGCGAGACAGAGAGGCAGAGAATCATCTCTGGCTTCCGCTGGATCGGCCTTTTCTCGGACGAGAAGGTGACCCCTCGCGGGACCCTCCTTGATACGCTCTGTGCTGCGCTCGAGAAGAAGATGCCGTATGAGAAGGGCGAGAGGGATCTCGTCATCCTCCAGCACAAGTTCTTCGTCGAATGGGCTGATGGCAAGACCGTGCGTGGACATTCTAGTTGTCTTCCTTTAGACGAACTCTGATTTCGGATTTCCAGGATATCATCACTTCTACTCTGGAAGACTATGGCGACCCGCACGGCTGGTCTTCTATGGCGACGCTAGTAGGTATCCCGTGCGGTATCGCCGTACAGCTCGTGCTGGACGGGGTGCTAGCTACGCCCGGCATCCTCGCGCCGTACTCCAAGGAAATATGTGATCCGATCAGGGAGAAGTTGGAACAGGAAGGAATACGATTGATAGAGAAGACCATGTAAAAGAAAGCAGAGTCGCCATGCTATATAAGGAATAGCACGGTTGAGAAGATGACATGTGTTACACGAGTAATAGACGCCTCGCAAATTGCGTTGCCGGGTCCCCCGGACCTTTACTCCGATTCAGTTGAGCCATTCTGCTCCAGACCAGACTAACATCATCCTATCTCGATATTACTGTCGGCGGAGACCATCCAATGTATTCCTCTGGAGGCGCACAGTTCCATGACTCCTCTTGCGATATCTGAGTACGGCAGATACGCCGATCACCTGTCATAACAGCTGGGCAGGTGAGACGCCCGAAAGACAATGGCCAGAAGCGGCTTTAAGCTGGCGAGGTGCTATTTCCAAGGAGACGGCCGTCTCCGCCCTGCTTTGAGGCATTTCATTAAATGCTACCGCGACAAAGGGCAGAAGCGAAAATCTTGTAGAACATAGATCTTGAAAGTGGCTCGGAAATTCAAGTTGAAACATCAACTGAAGCGCCCGTGGCTACTGCGTTCAACCTCCTGAAAGCGCCCAAGAAACAAGTCCTTGAGCGCTCCTCAACGGTCCTCTGCTTTTTCGCTCGATCGTAAGGTTTCTCCTCTGAATAAAGATCCGGTCTGCGATGCGGTGTCCTCGCCGTAACACATGCTACGCTCTAGACTGTGCAATATGGAACGTGTAACGTTCGAGACTGTCAAACGTGATTGATGGAAATGTTTCCAGATTCGTATGTGTCCATATGAGGAGGTCGAGGACGAGTGCCAGCTGCACTGATAACGGTTAGACCCTCCACAGAAGACCCCTCAGGGATCATATGCCTCTTTCCTGGGAGATCGCGCCATACCATTCTTGAATACTCATATGAACATGGTATACGTAAGCACTGGATAGGGTGATAATTCCGTATATCAATAGAAGGAGAGACATTGTGAAAGCAGTTTGTATTTGCTTTCCAATCCCGCTGACCCAGTTCAGCATTTCGACCCTCACTACCAGGTACTCCTTGGCGCTACTGCAGACCCATCTGTATTCTCGTCGGAGTGTGAAGGCCGTAATAGTCGGGCAGAAGGCGAAGAGCGAAATGAATGAGTATGGCAAAGACTATCGTAAGCATAGACCCGCAAGAGCTTCAAGAAGCGGAAGTTGCTTTTCCAAGTTTCAGCTTCTAGTGCGGAGAGAACAGTTGATATTACAGTCGCCGCTTGCTCAGAGGTGGTGCTGTGTGCTGATCTTCATGTCGTCTGCCCTTGTACAGCGGATTTAGCTGCGTTGGCTCCTTACGCCAGGCCATGTTCTGAAATAACGACGAGTCACCAAACCATTTTGAGTCAAAAGGTGAGCCGACTTACCAAACTCCCAAAGGTTACTGCTTTGCCCCTTATTCGCTGCGTGTTGTTCACGCCTCATTTTGATCCATTCTACTTCAAATCCGATTTCGGAAATAGATGGGCCTTCTCCGAAAGTGAAGAAGGTATATGCATCATCCCAGCCTTGTCGGAAGCCATCAGAGAACCTCCAATATTCGTAATGACCAGGATGACGAGACCAGTAAATGGTGTGGTCATCTGTAGTGTCATAAGTCTACGATCGAGTCTTCATCTAGACACACACGGAGTGCCTTAGCTGCCTCCCGGTCCCTCTTGTCGGTATCGCGTTGTATGCCATGGGCCAATCGCTTCATCCCATAGAACTCCGGCATGATGGCGGCAGTCGTCGCATTCTTCAAGTTCCAGCCCGCATCCCAGCCCGCTTCTTTCTTAAGCGTCCAGAACCACCATCCTCCGCAGATTCGCTCGTACAAGTCAAGTTGCGCACGGGTAAAAACACGGCGCAATCGGTCCTGTTCTCCAACATCACCGTGCAAAGATCCTGGATTCAGGGCGGCGGAGAACTCCGCGACCACGAGGTTACCGCGGCATTTGTTGGCTGCCTCAGAGAACCAGGTCATCTGATTCGGATCTCGAAGGCTCTTGGCGTGCTCGTCCCCTGACTTGTGCGAATCGTCTGAAGTAAAACAGCGGTACAAGTGGTGATCAACAATGACCCAGTAGTTGCGGCTCCCAGCAAGTTCGGCATATTGATGTGTGTCCCAGGCGTCATGGATATACAGGGGCAGATTGGGCGTGATGGATCGCAGGGAACCGAGGGTTGACGAGTACCAAGGCGGCAGTCGGGCATGATTCTGCGGCTCGTTAACAAGTTGAACCCCAACAACGTTCGGTATGTCCTTCACATAGGACACAAGCAGTCTGAGGGCTCGAAGTGTCGCAGAAAGGTTGTGTTCCTCGTAGAAGCGAACGGACCCGGTCTGTCCACTGTGGGCGTCGCCATTCTGCTTGCCCGGAGCCGCATGCAGGTCCAGGAGCACCCCAATACCGTGCTGACGAGCAGTAAAGATCGCCTGAGCGATGCGTCGCCAAGCACCCTCAAAAGTACCGCAGAATGGTTGGAAATCTGTTCCATCCAGGACAGCCTGATCCAGACCGCAGAGATGGTAAAATCCAATCTTGCGGCATCGGTCAGGTGACTGATGGTGTATTGGTCCCACACTTACGGGTATACGAACGCTGTTGATGCCTCGTTCGTTCATCCATTTCCAATCATCAGATGTAATCCAAGCATCCCAATGTTGCTCGAGGATCTGTTTTGCCGAGGAACCACGAGCGACGTCGTAGTCACTCTGCGCCGGTGGTGCGGCTTGGCGGAAGGGTGACTCGGTAATCCACCTCTCTAGTACAAACCACGAACCTAATCACGTTCTAGTTAGCGCATTATTTGTGCTCAGGTAACAGCGCACCGAGGTTGACGCCTCGCTGCTTTCTGAATCTGTAGATGGTCGTTGCATTCTCGGTCATGGCGGAAGCTTTTGAAGCCACATCTCTTCTGTGGGCGACAACGATGTACTCTCACACAGGCCTCGTGCTGATCTCGAATATGCTGGTCAATTAATTTCTATATATTGAATTTGATAGGGCAGATCGCCCTATTGAAACGGTGCAACTGTTCTCTGGACAGATTCCAAATTCATCGCGGCGCTGTCCCAATTTAATCGGTCTTATTTTGTGTCGAACAGCACGATTGTTCCGCTCCACTCCCTCTCTATCGTCTATATGCCAGATAACGTGAAAATCTGCTAGAATTCATGGGTTGCACCAAGTCCTCGGGCCTGACATGATCAAATTGAATGGAACTGCTCGGGGTCGAGTGCCTCATTGGGTTACATGGCCAAGTTTGTCCTTCCTGAGGATGGTATTCTATGCGGAATGGGGGTCGACTGTAAGCCATGCGGAGCTGCATGCGGACTGGTGACAACAATTTCGCCCTTTGTCCTACACTGCCTAAAAAGCCGAAGATGAAGCAGACCACATCCGTACCTGGATTTTGCCACCGGGCTGACTTGACGGGGGTTGGAATTTCGAGAACTTGGTGTACCCGTAAAAGGGGCTCGGGAAATCAGGACTCCTAAGAAAGTGGGAGGAGAGCTTTGAAAGGGACATGGAAATCGTCAGGGAGGAGGATGAACCGGAACATATGTATGCCAAAATGGCTAAAGGAGGTTTCGGCCGTCGTTGGGCCGCGGGAAATTGCAAGATGGTCCAGTCCATGAGACTACTGTTCTGGTCATGAGAGCTGAAAGACCGCGGAAATTTTTCAATTCGGGAATCTCAAGTACGTACAGAGGTCGTCAGCATATGCAGTTTCGAGACTCGTTGCAGGTTGGTGCTCCCTTGAAGGGGACGAACGCGACGCAATGCACACATGTACGGTGCGACAAGGCGGCGGTCAGATAAACTGGGAGGAGCAGCTGACCTTGAACATAGGATTTTCTTCCTTTCTGCCAGTCGGTCGGTTGTCCTCCCGACTTATCTCTTGCGAAGTGCTCAGAGTTCCCCAGACGCCCTAAGCAGCTTAGGGAATAAGATAGACCATCCTTCGCACACCCCGCATGCCCCTTGCTTCTCTTCTGTCTTCTAATTTATCCGACAATGTTACTCCACGGGTCTACACCTTTTTTTAGACAGCTCTTCGACTGCGGAGGGGCGATTCCATCGTGTCGCGGCCTGTGTTGGCGTGTTGACCGGGCCGTCTGCACGGGCCGCCCGCGCATTAGCAAGCAACTTTTGCTTCTATCCCTTCCAAAGTCGGTGCTTGTGACCGAACAATGATGCGCTCAAACAATAGACAGTGATGACAACCTCAAGGCCGGTCAGGTCGCAGACGGTCTAGACGACAGGTGTACACCCGCGAGAGTCTAGATCGGCATGATAAACGCCCCGTGTGGGCAACGAGTCGCGCGTCTTCCTCCCTCATCTTCTCTTGTCCGTCTTTTGCACAACCCTGTTGCTTCGATGATGCTGAATCAAGCCTGGCGTATCTCTCTTTGGGCATGTGGGCGGGACACGTACACAACACTCGAGATTGCCCTCGACATGACGAGGTCTTCTGGAAACCCCACTCGAACGCATACATAACCAGCCTGCCGCCCTACCATGGCCCCACTTCAAGCGGACCAGGTATTGGTGACAGCTATACACAAGCAGCTCGCTAGGAGAATATCAGCATGGAAAACGAGAATTACGATGGGATGTCTTTCGTAGAGCACCGCCCAGCGTGGTGGAAAGAGGTGTGCTTCATTTCGCCCACATAAGACGTACTCGCTCACCCATGTCATCAGGCCATTGTGTATCAAATCTATCCCCACTCCTTTGCAGACAGCACAGGCAATGGAATCGGTGATATTCGTGGTATCATCTCCCGCCTGTCACACCTCAGCGACCTTGGGGTAAACGTCGTCTGGCTTTCCCCTGTCTACACCTCCCCGGGGAAGGACATGGGGTATGACATCGCCGATTATAAGGGCGTGAATTCCCTCTATGGGGCGATGGAAGACTTTGATGAGATGTTGCGAGAGATGCATAAGAGGGGTATTAAGTTGATGTATGTCATCTCACTTAGTATCTTGCAGGGTGCCGCTGACACGGGATGGTTCTATAGGATGGATCTCGTTGTGAACCACACCTCCGACCAGCATCCCTGGTTTGTCGAGTCCCGTTCTTCCCGCACCTCCCCAAAGCGCAACTGGTACATCTGGCGTCCTCCTCGATTCTCACCCTCTGGCGACCGTCTCCCGCCGAACAACTGGCTCTCCAGTTTTCGCGGATCTTCCGCGTGGACGTGGGACGAGCAGACGCAGGAATATTATTTGCGTATCTTTACGGCTGAGCAGCCGGATTTGGATTGGGAGAATGAGGAGGTTAGGAAGGAGGTCTGGGGAACTATGAGGTGGTGGTTGGATAAGGGCGTCGACGGGCTTAGGGTGAACATCACTGTCTCTTTCCCTTCCTTGACAACGTATATGCTGATACCTCGTATGCGCGACAGATGGATGTGATCAATATGATCTCCAAACCGTTCGGACTGCCAGACGCACCTATCACAGAGCCAGGAAAGCACCTCCAGCCGGGCTGGCAGATGTTCACCAACGGGCCGAGGGTGCACGAGTTCTTGCAGGAGATGCACCGTGAAGTCCTCTCTAGTGGGTTTTCTGTATATTTTCGCAGGACGAAGCTAACTGTGGCGTCTTTTGTGCTTGTGGTTGTCAGAGTATGATCTGATTACCGTGGGAGAGACGCCGTTCACGCATGATGTGAAGACATTGGCGGAATACGTCCTACCTAAGAATAAGGAATTACAGATGGTGTGCTCGCTTTTCTCTCCTATTTCTTGCGTATTCCGTTGATACGCCTTCCCCATAGGTCTTTACTTTCGAGCTGCATGATATCGACGGTACCCCTCGCATCCCTCTCAAACCCCGCAAGTTCCATCTCTCCTCTTTCAAAAGCATCATCCACAAATATCAAACTGCGATGCTCTCCCTAGGCGGGTGGAACAGCGTCTACCTGGAAAACCACGACCAGGGACGGTCGGTCTCGCGATTCGGCTGTGATGCACAGGAGTGGAGGGAGCTGAGTGCGAAGATGCTCGCGCTTTTCCATTTGACGCTAAGCGGGACAGCGTATGTTTATCAAGGGGAGGAGATCGGCATGCGGAATATGCCAAAGCAGTGGGGAATAGAGGAGTACACGGATTGCAAGACGAGGATGTATTGGAACGAGTGGGCGCTTTCTCTCTCCTGCCGCATTCATTTGAACTGACATCATTGTGTGAAGGGTGCTTAACCATCGCCGTACCACTTCCACTCCCAACCCCGACATGTCCGACATCCTTGCCGACCTCTCCCTCAAAGCGCGTGATCATGCCCGCACGCCCATGCAATGGGACTCCTCGCCTAATGCTGGGTTTAGTAAAGGACAACCTTGGATGAGGGTGAATGACGATTGGAAAGAGTGGAACGTCTTGGAACAGAGGGGGAGGGAGGGAAGCGTGTTGGAGTTTTGGAAAGAGATGATCAGGTTTAGGAAGGCCTCTCCGGCGTGTGTGAGTGCTGTGTCTGCCTCGTGCCTTTGACTGACTGGATGGAGACGCTAATCTGATACACTTACGTAGACTTACGGCCAATACGATGATCTAGACCCCTCCCACCCTCACATCTTCGCCTACCGCAAAGTGCACTCGCGCCAGCGCCTCTTGGTTATCCTAAACTTCTCGAGCGCCCCAGCAGAGTGGGACGTGCCTGAGGAATTAGGCAGCCTGCAGGGAAGGTGGGACTGGAGGATGGGAAATTATGTGGATGTTGCGTGTTTGGGAGAAGGAGGGGGAAGGAAGGTTGGCTTGAGGGGCTGGGAGGGGGTTGTCTGGGAGGAGAGGATGCTTGCGAACTGAGATGATCGCAAGAACGAACTGTGCAGTCTGTGCTTGTTGTATCTATGCTCGTTCACTTGTGTATGAAGTCGTTGACGGTCGGAACAAGGCTGCGCCGCTCAGCCCTCGCGACCGGAGCATGCTGCTCGGCAACGGTGCTTCTAGTGCAGAAGTGGAGAAGCGCTCAAACTGGCTTCTGCCTGCAAGTCCATCAAAAGCTTGTGCGTCTAAAGACTCCTTGCGGAGAAGCGCCAGAAGAACGGATATCGGCTGGGGCTTACTTATCTTGTACTAGGTTTCCCGGTTGCAGGAAGGTTGCGAGGTTGGAAATAGGATGAGAAACGACGATCAGATGTCTTCAAGCGTCGTTTGCCAGCCACGCAGTCGTATCCGTGATAATAAGGGCAATATCCCGAAGTCTGGAAGGCAAGGACACGTGACAGCCTTTAGGTCAAACACAAAATCAACAGAACAGTGATAATGATGAAACACAAGCAAGGGAATCATGTGGCACGATCCAAATAATGAATTGGTCACTCGATCATCAAAGAGATGAGCAAGGTTACGGGCCGGGCGCCGGAGGAACGGAAACTACGTCATCGACACCTTATTCTTTTGATATGGCCTTGTGCCGAGGTTTTGCCGTTTTGATTCAATCTGCCGGCGACCGTGCCAGGAAAGTGAAGGCGTTGGGCTGCCAGTACAGTAAACGAAACACGATGAGTATTTACGGACACGTTGTGAAGCAAAATATTGCTCGTTGCGGTCGTGATGGAGCTGGATGAGGGTTCCGGAAAAGGGATGACGCAAGACGCTTCTGGGGAAGCACCGCCTGAGTAGCAGATCGACGGGACAGGTCCTATCAATGGAATTGCAATGTTTTCATAATTTTGGATGGTTCCTAAAAAGGAAAGTGAGAGATTGCGCGATGGTGTGGATGGTACGGTGAGCATGAGGTGGGTAAACCTCACAAGGTTTGTGGCGCCTAACCACCAATTGATTGATCCCGGTTCGGGGCAAGAGAAGGGACAGAACCCACTTCGGAGCACGCGCCAGACAGACAGCACGCAAGCTCGCCGCTCTTGTCCCCTTTGACTCATCTCTCGATATCGTCCACTCTGTTACTCTCCTTCTAACCTCTTGCTTGAAAGTAAAGAGACTTTGAAGAGAGTGTTGACAGGAGCGTATATTGTTTCGCCTTCTGTTATCGACAAGAAGTACCGGAGCCGTGCAGTTCTTTCCCAGTCAGGGACCTCTCCATTCGGACCTCCAGCGCGTCCCGTGCCCGACAGGAGAGACCTCGCTGGAAGGCTGCATCTCTGCTAGTGACGTTCGACTAGGTACGACGTTATCTGCTTGCATCGCGTATCAGTACATGGTGGACGACGACCGCAAGTAATTACGATATCGACTTGCACTCGCTCTTTTGTCGCGTATTGCACTCTCAATTCTCATCACAGGAGAATCAACTGAAGATCCGAAACCCATCATTAACGAGAATCAGCCCAATAACGAGCCTTCAACACCCGCTGAAGGCTTAACCAACCCGCCGTTCTGGCTCCCCGCAAGCGCCAGCTCCGCTCCTCCCCCTCTTCCTCGCCCTCCACATCCACGCGTCCATCTTCGGATATCCCCCTTTCTCAGGGAGTCCCGACAACCGGAGAAGTCTCTCACTCGTTTCAAGGTGTTGGACGACCGGAGAAACGCAGGAGAACACACGCTGAGGATACGGAACCAGAGAGGGAGCAAGATCTGTTGGCTGAACAGGGGAAAGGAAAACAACGAGAAGAACCAGAATCGATACACGAAGAAGAACACGAGATGGGAGTTGCACCGTCCCAACCCGGGCCGGCTGAACAACATGAAGAAACAACACAGAGGCATTCAGAGGACGATGCAGAGCCTGAAGTCAGCGTTGCTGGCGAGAATAGCTCTGCTCGCCCACCTGAAGCAACAGAAGATCCAGAAGTAGGAGGGGAAGCTGAGCTACTATCACCTTCCGATTCGACCCCTCCCGATTCCCACCCTTTCATCCAGCACCTTTCTACCATTTTCTCCGCGTATGAGCTCGGTCCACACTCACCTTCCATCCCCAAGTACTCGGGTCGGCAAGACTTGCAGACCAATTTGATCGAAGAGAACGTGCAGAGACTGTTTAAGCGATTATGGGAGGCAGAGGAGAGGCTGGAAGCGTACAGTCCGAACAAGCCAAACAAGCGAGTGAAGCAACTTGTGGAGGAGGAAGCTGAGTTGACTAGGAGTAACGGGGCAGGGGTGAAGAGGAAACACCCCGAAAGTCAAGGTCTACCAATTACCCCCATACAGACACCGGCAGTGGAGGGCCAAGCGACGGTTCCTGCTCGAGGGCCCTCCGAGCCCAAGGCAACGCCCATGCACATTGACCTTGGCAACCTGCCGCCCAGTATTACTCCGGAAGACGTGGCGAAGAGGACTTTGCGGACTCCAATCCCTCCAACCTATCACCACTGTCCCGCCTGCGGACATATCATGTCCCCGCCCTCCATACTCTCCGGTCTGTTACATGCCCGGGTCTCTTCCAACGATTCACCCCTCGTCATCCCCCCTGGCCCGCTTAGCGTCGCCGCCTTCGAGCGTGGCATGGACGCGGTGGACGAGCTCAAGCTACTCAAAGCCCAGGTGCAAGAGATCGCCCGCGTCTGCATGGGTGTCGCCCAAGGCGATCTGAGCAAGGTCATCACTATCGAAGTTCAGGGACCGGTCATGAGCGAACTCCAAGACAGCGTGAACGAGATGGTTGGTACGCTCAAGGCATTTGCGGACCAAGTGACGCATGTGTCCGTTAAGGTCGGCGTGGAGGGGTACGCTGTTCTGCTGTCCTGTGCTGGTGGTCTGTGCGCTGATATTTACCTGCATATAGTGAGCTCGGTGTGTCCGCCCACGTACCAGAGATCAAAGGAAAATGGCTCGAGGTGCAGAACGTCGTCAACCAACTCGCGAACAACTTGACCGTCCAGGTCCGCGAAATCTCCCAGGTCACGAAGGCCGTCGCGAATGGCGACCTGAGCAAGCAGATTGATGTGCCTGCCCAAGGCGAGATTCTCGATTTGAAGATCACGGTCAATGACATGGTAGGTATCTGATTGGAATGTGACTGAGAAGCGGTTGGAGAGCTAAGTGTATGCGCAGGTAGTACAATTGCGTGGTTTGGCTGCGGAAGTGACGAGGGTGACGATGCAGCACGGTTCGGAGGGTATTCTGGGAACCTCGGCGAAGGTCCCAGGTGTGAATGGGGTCTGGAAGGAGTTGACTGACAATGTGCGTTTTGTGCAGTTGGATCCCGTGATCGATTGCTAACTCGGCATTCTAGGTGAATGAGATGTGCAGCAACCTAACCGACCAAGTACGCAGTATTGCCGAAGTGACGACCGCCGTAGCAAATGGCGACTTGACCAAGATGGTCGCCATTGAGGCAAAGGGCGAAATGGCAAAGCTCAAGCACACTATAAACGACATGGTGCTGCAGCTCGGGACATTCTCGCGAGAAGTTATCCAGCTGGCTACCTGGGTCGGCACGGATGGCAGGCTGGGCGAGCAAGCGCGTGTCGATGGTGTCAAGGGCACATGGCACGAGCTCACGACGAGTGTCAACGGCATGGCCAATAATCTCACGCAACAGGTCCGCTCTATCGCCAACGTCACAAAAGCTGTCGCTGCCGGCGACCTGACCAAAAAGATTGAAGTCGACGCCAAGGGTGAGATCGCGGACCTCAAAGGGACGATCAACAACATGGTCGACCAGTTGCGCATGATTGCGGATCAGGTTTCGACAGTCGCACAGGAAGTCGGGACAGATGGCAAATTGGGCGGCAAGGCTATTGTTCCTGGTGTCCTGGGAACTTGGGCGGAATTGACCAACAACGTTAACGTACGTTCATTTGACACATTCCCACTTTAACTGCTGAAAATATATGCTCAGCGAATGGCGGACAACCTCACTAACCAAGTCCGAGAAATTAGTCGCGTGACGTTAGCCGTTGCGGACGGTGACCTTTCGCAATCCATCGATGTTCAGGCGAAGGGAGAGATCAAATCACTCAAGGACACTGTGAATAGTATGATCACTCGACTGGATAATTTGGCCAAAGAAGTCACACGTGTTGCTCTCGAGGTCGGTACGAACGGCAATCTAGGACAGCAGGCTGTTGTCAAAGATGTATCTGGCGTATGGAAGGAGCTTACGCACAATGTCAACGTGCGTTTTGAGATATCTGAGTTCGCGTCAGAGCGAGGCTGACTACAAACCGCAGCGCATGGGCGATAATCTGACGAACCAAGTCCGCGCGATCGCCGAAGTTACGACGGCCGTTTCGAAAGGGGACCTGTCCCAGTTCATCAACATCGAAGCCCAAGGAGAGGTCCGGACACTTTCCATGACTGTCAACTCTATGATCGTCCGGCTGGGGGCGTTTGCAAGCGAGGTGACAAGGGTGGCGGGAAAATTGGGAACGGATGGTAAATTGGGCGACTCCGCCAAAGTAGATGGCCTGGAAGGCATCTGGGCTGAGCTGACTGAGAACGTTAATGTGTGTCATCACCCAATTTTTTTGGTCTTTCTGACTATCATTATTAAGCGTATGTCCTCAAATATCACTGAGCAAGTGCGGGCTATATCAGCAGTTACCGTGGCTGTCGCGAGGGGTGATCTCAGTAAGGAGATCACTGTCGATGCGCAGGGTGAATTCCGAGACCTCAGAGATACCGTCAATGGTATGGTTCACCGATTACAGGCTTTCTCCGACGAGGTGAAGAGAGTGGCCCTGGACGTTGGGACCAACGGGAAGCTGGGAGGGCAGGCGAAAGTGGAAGATGTTGAGGGGGAATGGGCACAGCTGACCGCAGCGGTGAACGTGCGTGGCATCAATATTCCCCGGTTTAACGAAGTAATTGTAATTGACGCCTTGCTTGACCCAGAAAATGGCCAATAACCTGACATTGCAAGTGCGATCCATCGCAGACGTTACCAAAGCCGTCGCTGCCGGTGATCTAACAAAAAAGATCGATGTGCCCGCTGAAGGCGAGATCAATGATCTGAAAACCACCATCAATTCCATGGTGGATCAACTGCGAACGTTTGCGAGCGAAGTCACATCTCTGGCGCAAAGGGTAGGGACCGAAGGTGTACTAGGCGGGGCAGCCAAAGTCGAAGGCGTTCAGGGCACATGGGCTGCCCTTACTGAGAACGTTAATGTGAGCTTAGAAACCTGTTGTTTCATAGTTGTGGACCACTAATGCGCTACCCAGCGAATGGCAGACAATCTCACGAGCCAAGTTCGCGCCATCTCCGCCGTCACGAAAGCCGTAGCTAGCGGCAATCTGACGGAGAAGATCACAGTCGAAGCTAAAGGGGAAATCCTGGAGCTGAAGCAGACAATCAATGGAATGGTGGATCAGCTCAGCACATTCGCACGTGAAATAACGAGACTGGCTACTGATGTTGGTACTCGTGGGATCCTTGGCAGGCAAGCAAATGTTGCGGGAGTTGAGGGGACGTGGGCAGACCTGACCACAAACGTCAATGTTAGTACCACATTTTGTCATCTTGTCTTCCATGAGCTGATGGTTTCTTGAAAAGCGCATGGCCGACAATTTAACCAATCAAGTCCGCTCTATTAAATTAGTGACCACTGCCGTCGCTGACGGCGATCTGACAAAACACATCAATGTCGATGCACAAGGCGAGATTCTCGACCTGAAAAACGTCATCAATCGCATGGTAGATCAGTTGGGTACATTCGCCAGTGAGGTCACGCGCGTTGCTCTTGACGTAGGAACGTACGGACAACTCGGTGGGCAGGCAACCGTGGAGGGAGTGAAGGGTACATGGGCAGCTCTGACTACCAATGTGAACGTAAGGAGGCTCCGTTCAAGTCAACATGCAGTCGCTTACGGCACCGAAACCAGCGTATGGCCGATAATTTGACTAACCAGGTACGATCCATTGCAGCAGTCACGCTCGCTGTGGCCGAGGGAGATCTAACAAAGAAGATCGACGTTGAGGCCTTGGGAGAAATAAAGGATCTGAAGAATACGGTGAATTCCATGGTGGATCAATTGAATATGTTTGCCAGCGAGGTGACGAGAGTGGCACTTGAAGTGGGTACGAAGGGCGCGCTTGGGGGACAAGCTAAAGTCGAGGGCGTCCAAGGGACATGGGAAGACCTGACTAAGAGCGTCAACGTATGTTGTTCCACCCGCTCTCGCCTGGAAACTCTGCTGATCCAGTTTGGGATTAGCGCATGGCAGACAACCTCACCAATCAAGTCCGTTCTATTGCTGAGGTGACTAAGGCTGTTGCGAAAGGGGACCTCACGAAGACGATTGAGGTGGACGCCGAGGGAGAAATTGATGCACTGAAAGAAACTATCAATGGAATGGTAGCGAACCTGAGTCGTTTTGCCGCCGCAGTTTCCCTGTTGGCGCTCGAAGTGGGAACCAAAGGCAAGCTAGGAGAGCAAGCTGTTGTGTCTGGGGTGGAGGGTGTTTGGGCTGATCTCACCGACAACGTCAATGTATGTTTAGAGGCACATTATTCTCAATGTCCAGGTTACTCACCCGCTCCAACAGCGGATGGCCCAAAATCTCACCACTCAAGTCCGTTCAATCTCTGAGGTAACCAAAGCTGTTGCGAAAGGCGATCTAAGCAAGACCATTGACGTCAGCGCGGAGGGGGAAATTGAAGACCTCAAGGATACGGTCAACAATATGGTCCGAAATCTGATCACATTCGCTAGCGAGGTAGCAACACTCGCCAGAGCTGTAGGAACCGAAGGTAGACTAGGCGGCCAGGCTAATGTGCACGGCGTTGAGGGTATATGGGCCAGTCTCACCCAAGATTTCAATGTATGTAGCCGCCCTTCCGATTGAGTTTGTCAACTGAACTTTACAGGACATGGCAAATAACCTCACGACGCAAGTGCGTGAAGTATCGGAGGTCTGTAAAGCCATCGCCCGCGGTAACCTGGACAGAATGATCGAAGCAGATGTGCGGGGTGAAATCCTGGACTTGAAGGATACCATCAATAACATGGTTATCGACCTGAATGCGGTTAGCCGAGAGGTCAGCCGTGTTGCGGACGAAGTCGGTACGCAAGGAATACTAGGTGGACAAGCTAGAGTCACCGGCATACATGGTATATGGGCTGATCTACGAGACAATGTCAACGTATGGACATGGTGTTTTCATATAAAGCGCTGAGGCAGGCTCTGACGTTGCGACAGAGAATGGCTGATAACCTCACCAATCAAGTTCGAAACATTGCCTCTGTAACAAAGGGAATAGCAGAAGGTGACTTAACTCGCTACATTGAAGTTGCCGCGCAAGGAGAAATCCTCGATTTGAAAGAGACCGTGAATAACATGGTGTCTGGTCTCAGTCATATGGCGGGAGAATTATCCCGGGTCGCGCTGGAAGTTGGTACAAAAGGAGTTCTTGGTGGCCAGGCGATCATCCAGGACATGCCCGGGACGTGGGGTGTCGTAGTCATCAATGTTAACGTGAGCCTTCTGGGGCAAGACGGTGCACGTGTGATACTAACCATTCGATCAAGAACATGGCAAACAACCTTACTTCCAACGTCAGATCAATTGCCGCTGTGACGAAGGCAGTCGCACAGGGCGACCTTACGCAAAAGACATTTGTTCGGGCCCAGGGAGAGATTGGACAGCTCAGCCTAACGATCAATAAGATGGTCACCCAGTTGAACACATTTGCCAATGAAGTCACGCGTGTTGCCTTAGAAGTCGGCACACAAGGGAAGCTTGGTGGCCAAGCCCATGTCCAAGGGGTAGAAGGAGTATGGGCAGAACTCACCAATAATGTCAACGTGAGTGACCCTGCTTTCCAATGATATGGGTCTCATTCAAAGACAGCGAATGGCCGACAACCTTACGAACCAAGTCCGGTCAATATCCGATGTCACCAAGGCCGTCGCGGCTGGTGATCTTACTCGGTATGTCGAGGTCCAAGCACAGGGAGAGATTCAAGAACTCAAGGACACCGTGAACACCATGATTCTTCGGCTAAACACATTCGGGACTGAAGTCACGCGTGTCGCCCTCGAAGTGGGCACGCAGGGAAAGCTTGGTGGTCAGGCAATGGTCGAAGGTGCAGAAGGTGTTTGGGGAGATCTGACTAACAATGTGAATGTAAGCTACTGCGTGATATTCCAAGTCTGCCAGCTCATGAAAGGCAGCGTATGGCGGATAATCTCACAAAACAAGTCCGCTCCATTTCCACTGTGACGAAGGCTGTTGCGGTAGGGGATTTGACTCAGTACATCGAGGTGGTGGCGGACGGTGAAATCGCAGAGCTCAAAAATACGGTGAATGCAATGATTAGCCGTCTGAACACGTTTGCCAGCGAAGTAACTCGTGTCGCTCTAGAGGTGGGTACCCGAGGCAGACTGGGTGGGCAGGCACAGGTGGAGGACGTACAGGGCGTTTGGGCAGATTTGACCTTCAACGTCAATGTGAGCACATCACTGTACCAGATGTATGCAGGGACTGACCGGAGGGAAGCGTATGGCCGACAATCTCACCAATCAAGTTCGGTCGATCTCCGATGTGACCAAAGCTGTCGCGGCTGGCGATCTCACTCGCTTCATCGAGGTGCAAGCACAAGGAGAAATAGCGGATCTCAAGGACACCGTAAACACCATGATACGTCGTTTGAACACTTTCTCTACTGAAGTGACTCGTGTTGCCCTGGAAGTTGGAACCCGAGGCAAGTTGGGGGGTCAAGCGAAAGTGCAGGACGTCGAGGGTGTTTGGGCGGATCTGACCGCGAATGTCAATGTAATTTCTTTGTCATCATGATATTCCGATCAACGAGTTGACTTGATGCAGCGGATGGCAGACAATCTAACCAATCAAGTTCGATCCATCTCAAACGCAACGAAGGCTGTCGCTGCGGGTGACCTGACACAATACATTGACGTTATAGCTGAAGGAGAAATCGCGGAACTGGTGGACACTGTCAACACGATGATTAGCCGTCTCAACACGTTTGCTAACGAAGTCACACGTGTGGCCTTGGAAGTTGGTACGCAAGGCAAGCTGGGAGGTCAAGCTCATGTCCAGGATGTACAAGGTGTTTGGGCTGCTCTTACCTTCAATGTCAACGTGCGTTTTCTCTGCTCAGGGTCTTGATCTGAGGCTCATCGGAAGTAGCGAATGGCTGATAATCTCACGAGCCAAGTGCGGTCGATCTCTGACGTTACCAAGGCTGTTGCTGTTGGCGATCTTACTCAATATATTGAAGTAGACGCGCAAGGAGAAATGGCAGATCTCATGAACACCGTGAACGCAATGATTCGGCGTCTGAACAATTTTGCAAGGGAAGTAACTCGCGTTGCCCTAGAAGTGGGAACACAAGGCAGGCTGGGAGGTCAAGCGAAAGTACAGGACGTTGAAGGTATCTGGGCTCTTTTGACTTCAAATGTCAATGTAAGCTACCAGCGTAACTCGCACGATTTTGTTTTCGCTAACACTGACTAAGCGCATGGCGGATAATCTAACAAACCAAGTTCGATCTATCTCAACTGTTACGAAAGCTGTCGCCGCAGGTGACCTTACTTCCTTCATCGAAGTGGAAGCTCAAGGCGAGATCGAGGAATTGAAAAGCACAGTGAACACCATGATTCGTCGTCTCAACACCTTTGCAAGCGAGGTCACCCGTGTGGCGGTGGAAGTCGGCACTGACGGCAAACTCGGTGGTGAGGCTATTGTTCATGACGTCGAAGGCATTTGGGCAGACCTGACGTCGAGCGTCAATGTGAGATTGATCTATTGAATCTTGCGAGGGCGCTGATCAAAGAATCAGAGAATGGCTCGAAATCTTACTCTCCAAGTCCGCTCTATTACCACCGTTACGAAGGCAATATCCATGGGAGATATCACTAAGCTAGTGGATGTCGACGTGCGGGGGGAAATGCTGGATTTAAAGGTTTCTAGGCAAGATTTCCGTCAGTGCCGATGGCTAAATAACACCATAAGGAAACCGTGAATAGCATGGTCCATCAGCTGGACTTCATTGTGAATGAAGTGTCCCGAGTAGCGCTCCAAGTTGGTATTGAAGGTAATCTGGGTGGGCAGGCAATGGTCGGACCACTCGTTCAGGGGAAGTGGAAGGTATGAATCCCAAATGTTCCGCTCTCTCTTTCAGTTCTCAAGCGATCTCTGTCTAGGTTTTGACCGACAATGTAAGTCTGGCGCTACCTCTGGATAGACGTCAAAGCCTTACAATTGCCTCTTTAGGTTAATTTGATGGTGAGAAATTCGGTTCAAGACAAAACCTAGGTTAATCCTTACCCAGGCAAACAATCTCACTGAGCAAGTTCGGTCCATTGCGTTGGTCACTACGGCCGTAGCTGAAGGTGACTTGTCAAAACGGATAGAGGCCGAAGCGCAAGGTGAAATTTTGGATCTCAAGGTTCGCTCGTCCCATAAGCCCCCAATGATGACGAGGCTCATGCACTGTAGAATACTGTAAACAGCATGTGCGACTCACTTGATATGTTTGGGTCCGAGGTCACCCGGTGCGTTTGTTGCATGTAGCAGGAGCTGCCATGTTGAGATATTGTAGCGTTGCCAAGACCGTTGGTACTGACGGCATACTCGGGGTTCAAGCACAGGTCGATAATGTGGCTGGTATCTGGAAGGTAAATTGTGTAATCACATGAGGGGTGGACAAGCTTAACGCGTTGTAGGATCTTACGGACAATGTGAATGGCATGGCCAATAACGTACGGCTCACAACCTTTGTTTTGAGTGTGAACACTGAAGAGCGATTTATCAGCTTACTAAACAAGTCCGTGGTATTGCGGAAGCGACAGTACGCTATGGAAATCATGGGGTTCTAGAACTGCGAGCTGATGATTCGTGCAGAAAGCTGTATCAAAAGGAAACCTTACAACTAAGGTCGATATCAGAGCTTCCGGTGAAATCCAGGAACTTGTCGTTACAATCAATGGCATGATAGATCAGCTTGCTATGTGGGCCGGTGAAGTTCAGAGAGTTGCTCACGAAGTCGGAACTGAAGGCAGGCTTGGGGTCAATGCGAGCGTGCACTATGTCGAAGGAACGTGGCGGGAGATCACGTACGTAAGAATTTCTCGGCAGCTCGTTATCCTAACCAGCATGCAGTGTGGCTGTAAATACTATGGCGAACAACCTGACTGCTCAAGTCAGAGGATTATCCCAGATCGCCTCAGCGGCGACAGACGGGGACTTCACAAAGTTTGTCACCGTAGAAGCCAGTGGGGAAATGGACTCGCTCAAGACGAAAATTAATCATGTAACCTTCCTCACCGCTCTGGGGAATAACGCCTGATCACGGACACAGATGATCCGAGACCTGCGCGACAGCATACAACGGAATACTTTGGCCAAGGAGGCTGCAGAATCAGCAAACAGAAGCAAGTCCGAGTTCCTGGCCAATATGTCACATGAAATCAGGACCCCTATGAATGGCATCATTGGAATGACTTCGCTATGTTTGGAATCAGGCGAATTGACCCGAAGCAATAAGGATAATCTCCAGATTGTCCACAGTCTGGCGCAATCTCTCCTCTTCATCATCGATGATATTCTAGATATCTCCAAAAGTCCGTATTTCCGTTTTATCAGAAATTGTTTGCTGATGCAGTCATTCAGTCGAGGCGGGACGCATGACCATAGAGTATATTACATTCTCTATCCGGCACCTCATTTTCCAAGCTCTGAAGGGCTTGTCTATTCGAGCGCAGCAGGGCAAGGTAGACTTGACGTACGAGGTTAATAACGACATCCCCGATCAGATTGTCGGGGACATGTTCCGTTTGCGACAGGTTAGAGGATGTTCCTTACTTTTTTTGCCGTAGACTTGACCTTTGACATCCAGGTCCTGGTGAATTTGGTTGGGAACGCTATCAAGTTCACACCGACTACCGAAGAGAAACCTGGAAAAGTTACCGTCAGCGTTACCTGGTTCCCAGAATACTCCAACGATCACATGATCAAGCTGCTCTTCAGAGTACAGGACACCGGAATAGGGATTGCGCCTGACAAGGTCAGCGTGATCTTCGATACTTTCGCTCAAGCCGACGGGTCCACCACACGGGTGAGGGCATTCTTCGGGTACGCTCTGTATGTGATTAACAGGTTGTCAGAGATTTGGGGGAACAGGGCTTGGCCTGTCAATATCAAAGCGCTTGGTGCTCCTCATGGGTGGTAATCTTTGGGTCGAGAGTGTGGAATATCAAGGCAGCACTTTCTACTTTACCATATTTGCTCGCCTAACACCAGGAAATGCGGATTCGGAGACCATGCAGAAGATTGCTCTCTACGAGAATCGTCCAGTGCTGTGGTTGAACTCACGCCGGAACGGAGATAATGTCACTCGACTTTTGCAAGACCTCAAGTTTAGTGTCCGTGTCGCTCATAAGATGGAAGATATCCCTAAGGACGAAACACGGTATGATGCCATCATGATCGATCAGGTCGGCTTAGTCGACGTGGTCCGGCAAGAAGAGAATCTGAAGGACTCGCCATTCGTCATTCTGGATGGTGATGCAACTCATCTTGACTGTAGGCTCGGTCACGTGGCTCACTTCGAGGCGGGTTCTGACAATTCTGCAGTACAATGGTGTGTTGGCAATAGCGTGCAATCTCACCTTCCTTGGGTCAACGACATCCCGACTCTGGCAGGGGCACTTCTCCCTGCGCTCGAATACGTCTCGGGAGAGCCACTCACGGGCGACAAACATGTACCCTTCGACATCCTCCTTGCCGAAGACAATGTCGTAAACCAGAAGGTCGCCGTCAAGATTCTAGAGAAACTTGGACATCGTCTCGAGGTAGTCGACAACGGGAAGAAGGCGCTTGAGGCAGTTAAGATACGGGCGAAATCCGGCCGACAGTACGACCTTGTTCTTGTGAGTTGCGCTTATAGAGCTACAGGATGTTGGCTGATCGATGTAAACAGATGGACGTGTCCATGCCTTTTATGGGTGGTATCGAAGCGACAGAGATCATCCGGAGGTGGGAGCACGAAACTGGCGTGGCACGTGTCCCGATCGTCGCACTGACGGCGCACGCGAGTGAGCAGTCTTCACCTCCTGAATTGATCATGGCTAATCCCTTTCAGTGCTGGGCGACCGGGAGCGCTGCATCCAAGCTGGCATGGACGAATATGTGTCCAAGCCGTTGAAGCGGTCTGACCTGATATCGAGCATGACCAAGGCAGTCCGGATCAGCCAGCGCAAACAGAACCAGATAATCCGAGTCACGAATGTCTGATGCGTTGGTCAAGGCTATGCCCGTACCTCGCTTACTGATGAGATCTGGGTCCTGGCGATCCTGGGAAAGATACTGTATTATGGCAATGTGAACTACTGTATCCCTAGCACAATCATCTCTCGTCTTCCCCAATCCCTTTCTCTTTCTCTCTTTTTTCCAATTCTCGTAGTTGCTTCTTCGTTTTAGTCCTGATTCATCCGGGCGGGTCTTTGCAATTTGTGATACCGAACCAGTGGGCTTTTGTGATACAAATGATATGCTCTATTCCTTTGTATAGCTGGTGGTTTGAACAGCAAGCCAAAGACTAGGAACTTGACCGAGTTCGAGTTTACTGCGCCGGGATTCCAAGATAGTGTTCATATCTGCGGCATGCGGTACTGGGCAATAAGAGGGCGCTGCTGGCTTCAATTTATTTGTTGGTTAGCATATACGAGTATGAACGTCGGTTCTAGCGTCGGCGTATCCCTTGCCCTTAGACATGCAACAAACAAAAGTTTATTGTCTTGCCCCTGATGAGGTAATCGGCATTCCAATGCCGATATGACGCGGGACAGGGATCAGCGCCAAAACGGTCGACGCGTGAGGCGGAAGGCGTGGAAGCGCAGTCGGGGGTAATTTATACGCAGCGCAACTTCCTTCTCTCTCGTTTTCCCGGGGTACAGGTCGGTCTATTACCCCTTAGAGCTACTGCTTTGATCTCCTGCCGACGTGCCCGGAACACGCTGTGCGAGCGCATATTGTGGCAACATCTACAAGAGTATAACAATACGTCGCGACCCTTCACTTTCCATTCCTGCACTCACACTACATCACTCGCTTGACTTGATATACCCTTGATCTTTGGACGTCGCCTCGAAGTTCTGGAGATCTAGAAAGAGGATGGGATTGAACACTACTTGCCCGTACACGGAGAATACATCTGCAGTTGATCAGAGCACATTCTTTGAAACCGTGCGCCCCCTCTCTTTATCTCATTAGCATGCTGATCGAGTTGTAGAATGGGGTCGATTGGTATGCATTAAGCTTGTACGGGGAAGGCAGATGCTGACAAGAATTAAGGGATGCGCATCGCATAGGTTGGGTTGTCGCAGGCAGTTTCACCGCGGTCGTACGTCTCTCTCCCCGAGCTGTAACGCCAGCTCACTCTATGCAGACCACACTAGTCACGATCATCTCTGTATGGTCGCATTGTCGGAACTACACATTACCGCGACACCAGCGGCAGATTATTGTTCGTCTGATTATCTGTTCGTTTGACGAGCTGCATGGCTAACTTGCGGACAGAGGATATTGTATATGCCTATGGTGTACGCTATCATTTCCTTCTTCTCATACCGTTTCTTCCGGGCATATACGTGCGTACTACCGACTCATTTGACCTGCACCTGTTGACATCGGCGCAGATACTACTCCCTGATTGAATCGACGTACGAAGCCCTCGTCATCGCTGCCTTCTTGTGCGATACTTCTCTCGCATCTTCTCCCCATCCTAACCTGCTGTCAGACTCCTCCTAATTCAATTCGTCGCGGACAAAACTCCCACACTAGACGCCAAAGAAGCCCTCCAAAAGAAATCCAAGCAAAAGCTACCTCTACCCTTCTGCTGCATCCGCTATCGCCCCACAAAGCCCTACTTCATGTACACCCTCAAGTACAGCGTCCTCCAGTACTGCTTCGTCCGGCCTGCGCTGACCATAGCCGGCATCATCGCTGAGAAGAATGGACGGCTGTGCCAAGGCAGCTGGAGCCCCGCGTTTGCGAGCGTGTACATTGATGCGATCGACTTTGTCAGCATTACGTACGTCCGGCCATTCCTGCCAATATTTCCTGGAAGTGCTCATTGCCAAGGGCAGCATCGCGCTCTACGCGCTTATTATCTTCTATATGCTGACACACGATGAGCTGAAGGACAAGCGTCCTCTCTGGAAGTTCCTCTCCATCAAGCTCATCGTCTTCTTCACGTTCTTCCAAGGCTTCGTGGTATGTATGCCCTCCTGCAGACACGTCCTGTGCTTGTCCCTGATGAAGAGTAGTTTGATGCCCTCGCGAGCTATGGAATTATCAAAGCTACCGAGTTCTGGACGACAACTAACATCGCCGATGGCCTGAACGCGCTCACGACATGCATCGAGGTATTTCTTTTTTTTCCGTCTCCCATTTCTCTCTCGCATTCATATCGCGCTACAGATGCTCCTCTTCGCACTGATGATGCTATGGGCTTTTCCAGTCAAGGAGTACAGACAACCAGGGGCAGAGCCTACCGGTATCGGACGGCCTTTGTTGGACTCGATCAACTACTACGACTTCCTGTATGAGACATGGCTGAGTATGCGCTTCTTCGTACGTCGCTCGCCTTTGGTCTGAATACAATCTGACGCCCCATCCTCTGCAGTGGGATTACATCCGCGGCAAGCCCTACGCACGTGCAAAGAGGATAGAAAACGACAAGATTTCAGTGCACGGCTACGCAGCGTTCGACGATGCCTTCGGAATTGAGATTCCCGAGCGTATGCAACGTACAGACGTTGAAATGCCGATCTACAGCCAGCCTCCCCCTCCAACACGCCGGCGATCGGCGGGTCTAGGAGCGAGTCTCGGCACTCCTGATGCTAGGACGCAGAGATACGACACGCTTGCTTCGGACGAGGGGGAGATATCGCCCTCCCAGCCTGTGCAGGCGCAGGCGCAAGGGTACGCTCCTCCTGTGGGGCCACCGCCAGGGGCGGAAAGAGGGTACAGACAGTACGGAGGAGACGCGCAGTGAAGTGCGGTTTATCGTGTGGCTTGGGACTTACTATTCAGCATACATATTCATACCCAGGGCTGAGAGTGTGGCACCACAGATCAGAGTTGTATTTTATGGAACTGGGACAGTTTGATATACCCATTATGTATGCAGTTTAGGGTGCGTGTGGTGCTTGGGTTATGAGCACAGGAAACCAGTTGGCTGGCGGATGTGGATTGGTGGCCAGCGAGTTGTTCTGGGCTGCGGTGGTCTTAAGGAGTGTGCGAGTTCACGAGATTGTGGTGTCAGCTGATGATGCCCTGTTTATGTATCTACAGACGCATTGACGTAAGAAGAAAACATTCCAGAAGAAATGCTACACAAAATGGAAGCAGAAATCATGGAAGAAACTACAGATATTACGGTAGAAGAAAAATGAGATGGAAAGAATTTACTGCAGAGACGAGACGGGTGTGTTGGGACACCATGCACATTGCTACACGCTGTGTGATCTGAATGTAGATCATCTGCAGATGAGCACCAAGCCGGAACAAACATACTGTGAACGGCGAGGAGCTATTGTGAAATCGTGAAGTTATGCAAGAGAATATTGTTGCTCTGGGAAGGTAACGACTACCATAGGCGCTTGGCGGAGATGATGCAGTGATGTTGTACTTGAGAGTCCTCTTCATTGGCGCAGAGAGTCGTCGGCCCGTTGGGTCCTTTCGTCGGAATTGCCGATGGTCTACCACAAATCGCGCACCTCGGCGCTGATGTAATCTTCTATTGCAAAGTCGTCAAGAGATGCTGGTGGCGGTGACTCATTCATTTGACTGAAATTTGGAATGTTCTCCACGTCCATATCGAAAGATGAGTATTCGGTCCAGAATGGGTCCACGGGGTCTTGCAAGTAGTCGGGTACGAGAACTGGTTCACTAACGGCAACCTTCACGTCGAGGGGAGAACTAGGGTCGAGCACCGGAACCCTGGATGATGAGCCGGCGCCAGGAGTGATCAATTCGGCGCTGTCCTGTGATGTGTGTCTACCCGAACATTTGTCATCGATGGGGCTGCCTTGTATGCCCAAAGGAAGGACAGAGTGTTCTGCTGCCGGCGTGTCCGGGAGGAACAAGGGCTCAACTGTGTGTTCATCATTGGGCATATATGATTCCATTGGTGCGGGGATCGGATGGATCTTTTCTTCTTCCAGCTCAGGTGTCGACTCTGGGCTGGACAGGACAAGTCTTGTGTCGTTGAGAGTCTCTTCCTCGTCTTCGCTCTCTTCATCTGCGCTTTGCGCTTCGGCATCATTCTTCTCCTTGGAGCGAACAGGCAGACCACGTAGGGTTGGGCTGTGATTTGCCGGGGCTGGGCCTCCTTCGGCAGCGAAACCATTTTGGCGAAGCCAAGTTTGAAGGCTCTTCCCAGTCCTCTTCATCAGAGTGCTAGCGTTGCTGAATCCTTGAGCGGAGAACATGTTCTTGAAGCGAGTACGTGTCCCGCGTCTGTCCATGCACTTGTCACAACTGCAGTAATCGAGGCATACGGGGCATGTCCATGTCCCATCTACCTGGAATTTCTGGTCGTATCGGTTGGTGACGCATGATTCGCAGTAGACGATTTCGCATGAATTACAATGCATTTGCTGAAGGACGCGATTCGTTCGGCAGCTGTGACAGCCGCGAGCTGCGACCTGAATTATTATATCAGTCTCGCGACGGTCAGCAAAGAGAAAATCCACGTACTTGCATTCCGCGCTGAGCGGACTGCCTCCGCTTCCCAGGTAGACTTGAGGCATCGTTCGTCGAAGCACGCTTCTTCGGATGAGACTTGACCGCGATCCGCTGACGCTTTGCTGGCCGGTAATCGTCACCGTCGCTATCGCTGGAATCCTCGTCATCATCATCGACGCGAGAGGTGCGCCAGACAAGATCCAGAATTTCCCGAGAGACCGTCATTCGCGCATGACTCGGACGGTACACCTTCTGAGAGGGATGACGTCCGGAACTGCTCCGGGGATCATCGCGTTTGCGCTTCAAGCCTCTCACTTCACCACTGGGGGTCGGTGAAGTGATCCGAACATATTTGCCTCCTTTCAGTGATCCAGCTTGAAATTTGTTGATATCTACGGGCGGGACGCCAGGATAATAAGTCCCAGCCTTGGTCGATGCTAGCCATTCTTGAGCATGTTGCCAGACCTGTCAGGGACTCGGCGTACCTTCATTTTTTTTCCGCACGCGAATGTACCTCTGAAACTGCCTTTCCGCAATTTGGATATTGCGTTGCTTGAAGTAAGTCCCTTTGCCAATGATCAGCACTGCACGTGAGGCATAGAGCAGTAAGCTCACTTTTCAGGATCGGCATTTCGATACCGTCAAAGCACTTCGCCATAGCCTTAGCGGGGACAGATGGTGGGGAAAGGACAGTCAATCGATCATCTTTAGCGTCGCATGTGACAACGATAGAGTCGAGCTTTCTCTTCTTCCGAGGACCATAGATAGAGGAGGAAGGCTCGTTGTACGCATGAGATACGTTTCCTTGTGCATTGTATGGTTTGAGTGCCTTAACGACATTCGGCTTGTGATCCTTTCTCGAATCGTCATCGCCAGGGATCTTGCGGCTTTTTACCTGTTGAGTTTATTAGCAACGCGAAACAAGATGTGTGATTCTGCAAGTACATTGACGCTTCCCGTTGGTGTCGAGTACCTGTGGACTGGTGGACGAGCGACAGGAGGTACGGGGGAGCTGGATCGCTTTGGGAAGGGCCACTTATCAATAATCTGTATCTCGTCTTCTTCTTCCTCCTCGCGTGCCTCGTGATGAGAACAGTCAGCAAGAGATAGGGGAGTTGAGGCGCATACACGCACCTTGCGGTGCCGAAGCGTGGATTTGCGGTTGAAATCCACCACGACCAAATCCACCATGTTCTCCTGTTTAGGAACACGCTTAGAACAGAGCTCAGGAGAGCGCGCGTGAGAGGCGCGACGTGAACGACGCGGTACGACAAGCTCGCGTTTCTCGCAAACAGGCACCCGGGAGGGCTGAGTAGCCGCCTTCCTGAGTGTTCGCCGAGACTCCTGGTTGGACTTCATCTGTGTTTTCCTGCGCGGTTGCTTGAGTAGGAGCTCGTCGGGTGATTCTTCGGGGTCGAGTTGCGTCTTTGACAAGAGAGCGTTGATAGACTTCAGCCTCTCGATGTATTTGTTGAACTGGGATACGCGTTTGCTGGAGGTGCTTGGAGCTAACAAGCCAAAGATAGATGGAACCCCTGAAGTTGCCGGTTCCAGCGCTAGTGGGTCCTCGTCGTCAGAGTCGGTGAGGGGAGAATAGAAAGCAGATGAGGGCATTGTCCGAGCCGGATGTCCACGGCGCGTTAAAAAGAGGTAGGCAAGAGTCACCTTTCAGGAGCGGCGGCGACGAGGGTGTTGTGTTGGTGGGCGTCAGTCTCATTGCAATGAGGGGCCCTTTACGGAAGCAATTATTCAATAGGTTTTGCAAGTCACCGGCATTACGTCATATCCCCAACTGTCTGCACGGCATTTGTTTGGCTCCCACAATCCTGCGGCTCGGGGTGACGGGGTACATCTGCCGGATTACTCGAGACCCTTGCTTACACAAGTACAATCCACTATTGTAGTCTCCAGTTCGGATCATAATCTCGCCTGTGATCGAGATCAAAGACCAAATTAGCAGTAGAGCTTTCAGATAGCGTATAAGTATGCCCCCTTTATCTCCGGAGTGCAAGCATGCCGCCCGGCACGGACCTTGGTTCTTCCTGGTCATTCTCATTCTCCCGCTCTTCACTATTGACTATTAACGGATTGCTCAGCCCCATTCAAATATCAGGCACCCAATTTGGAAGAAACGGCTGATCAAGAATTCCTCATGGCGCTGCATGGCAATATGTTTGTCCTTGAGTTGACTCCTTATCTCCTGCGTACCCTCAGTACACGTGTTTCCTATGTTCTCATGCATGTGGTACCAGTCCTGGAAAGACAGTAGATTACGACAGAGACATGAACTGCGAACAGTGTGACTACAATCATACATTGCTAAGGCGCTCATTCGTCGCCGATCTTTGGTGCAAGGTAGTAGCGAACACTGCCCTGCTCGAACTTGTATTCAACCAGAAGGGGAACGTCGCCGCTCATGGACAGGGTGACCCTGGGAGAGAGAGAAGAACTCTTGGCGAAGTTGACGAGGTACTTGAGGGAGAATGTCAGGGAGACATGCTGGTTCAAGGTGATGTAAACCTTATCATCTGATTCGTCCCTGTCCTGCTGCAAAACTGGGATGAGTTTCATCGGTCCCTACCCAGGGAAACCGCACACACCTTCCTCTGCTTCTTAGCAGGGCCTGACTTCTGCTTCTTCTTACGCTTCTTCCCATCTTCCTCTTCCTCTTCCTCATCGTCCTCATCGTCGTCCTCGTCATCATCGTTGTCCGCCTTTACTTCCTGGATCTCATCGTCCTCATCCTCCTCCTTGACCTCGTCGTCGTCATCATTGCCACCCTTCTTCTCCTTCTTGACACCGTTTTCCTTCTTCTTACTAGATCCAGCATCCGGCTTGGAGACCGTTGCCCGACCAGAGCTCTTCAACAGTATACTGCCATTCGCACTCTCGCCATCGGCAGAAAAGCGCACGCCGTCCTTGCCAGCTTCGATTTTGACCGACTCGCCGAGGGTAGACAGATTGCGGCAGATGTTAGCGAACTCACCCGCAGGGAGGGCGATGGTCGCGTCGTAAGATGTGTCTGGAATGCCAAGATGCTCCTGATCGATATCCATAAGCTTCATGTCATATTCGCCGGTCCTGTCAGTGGCTGGCCAGGAGCGTCAGGAGTGCGGGAAGTAAAAGACAACACATGTTGCTTACCCTCATTTTCGAACAGGAGATGCAACGAGTCAGCATTGTCGTTGGCTTTGAGCTGCACCTGATCATCATCACGCGCGCACTTCATGACCTTGGTCAAGCTGGCCAAATTCACACCAAGGGGCATCGGCCGGTCACAGCGGTATTCTGTGAAACCATCTGCCTGGAGCTCAACCGCTACGAGAGCGACATGCGAGTTATCCATCGCTTGGAGCTTGAGGCCCTCCTCATCGCACTCAAAGTTCGCGTCGGTGACGAGCTCCTTGATAGCTGAAAGGGGGTCAATGACCATGCACACGTATACACGCAAAGTACAAACCATCGAGCAGCTTTTTAAGGATAGATGCTTGCTGGAGGCGAGCTTCTAACATGATTGTTGAAGTGGGGAGAAGGAGGGTGCGCGACGAGGGAGTGACTGGAATGAGCTTGGGTGAGAGCGCGGGTGCAAAGACGCGTTTGGGCGCGTCACGTTCTGTAGCTTGAACGCGTGTTTGCTTCCGCTAAATGATGAGAGACGCGTCTCCCCTTGGTGAGAACGCGGCTTCGCATTATCCAACCACAAAATCTCTAGCAAACTTAAGGTCAAAGCTTCGATATCTTGAATTGAAGAAGACATGGATTTTATGCACAAGTGTGAGAGGCCTAAAAGTCCGTCGTCACTTCAGACCGTGTCTCCCCAGTTGACGGCATTATCACTCCCCTATATCTTCTGAAAATCGTGGGATATATGAGAATCAGTGATATATATTGAACAAGTCGATAGCAGAATAGGAAAGAAATCCAATGCGCTGTGAAAGTCGAACATAATGACTATTCAGCAATAACCGCTACCTGAGCTTCTGGGCCCGTGTTTAACGGGGGACTGGACGACTCTTTTTAAGAAAGAAGAGGGTTGAACCGAGATAACCCGTCGAGAACAGGCACAACGTAGACCAACCATCCGTTGCCATATGTCGAGTTGCACGGATGCAATTAATGCCAAGACGGGGGGCGAGACCCCGGAGGCAAAGTGAGTTGTTTTGTATTTTCTTCTCTTAAGAACATTCCCAGGACCCCGTAACCTTGCGTAACCCGCAACCCTCCATCACCGCTTTTGACCCTTCCCTGCTTCCTTTACCCTCACCTTCCATTTCCCTCCCCTCCTCCTCATCGCCTCTCTCCTCTTGCTCATCGTCTAGAGCTTGACATATCAATACTTCGCCATCGGCGACCACACTCTCCTTTTCCCCTCCCTTTCCTTTACGTCGTTTACAAATGGGTCTCGACATCATCCATGTCCCGCGCACCGCTGGACACCACCTCAAACGCGTCGTCAAGCGCTCAGGTGCGTTATCATGATACAATTTTATGCATCCAAATCCTCACATCTTGTTACTAGACTGTGCGAGTGGTGGCCTCTATGTCTCTCCCACCGCCGGGCAGAGTGTCTCTCCTTCCAGCAACGTCAACATCACCTGGGATAATACTTGCCTTGGCTCACCGACTCCCCCGCTTGTCGACATCTACGTGTATGCCCCTGCGTCGGCTACTCCTCTCATTCATGTCTGGGGCAATGTTCCTGCTTCTACCGGCACATACAGTGACATGATCAACCCTTCGTGGTGGAATGCGACCGCGGGCTCTACCGAGTCTCTTCAGCTCCTGATCGTCGGAGCTGGTCAACCTTCTTGGATGACCTCCAGCCCGTCTGGACCCATCTTTACGGTGGCCACCCCGTCCAACTACAATGCATCTGCTACGGCTGCGGCTGCGGCTACTTCTGGCGGCAGCTCTTCATCATCTAACAATTCTGGCAGCTCTTCGTCTGGCAACAACTCTATCTACGAGTCTGTCACCCAACTCCTCGAGAAAGTTTTCCCGAAGGGTGCTATCGCGGCAGCTGTTCTTATTCCCATCATCGTTCTTGTTGCCGCTGCAATCATCTACATCAAGTGGTCTCGCAAGAAGGAGGCCAAGAAACGCGAGCGTTTCTCCCAGGCCATCGACAAGCGCATGTCGGTCATCTCCACCGATTGGCGGCCCAGCACTACCGCTGGTGCACGCGCGTCTATCGCCGTGGGCGCTCATCGTGGCAGTCTTGCTACTTCCGTCTACCTGCCTCGCCCCAGTTCGACCTTCGCCACAGAAGGCGGCCAAGCCGGTCTCGGTGCTTACAACGGGGAGATGTCTGAAAAGGCCATTCCTCGTCCATCGTTCCAAACTCAAACTTCTCTCGGCGTACCAAGCAGTCAAACAACACGCGTATCTCGTATCAGCTTCGCTCCCACCGTCCACCCCCGTATCAGCATGGCTGCCAAAGACGTTCTTGGAACCTCCGATGAAGAGGATGAGGGTGCTATGAGCCCAACTCAGTTGCAAGGCCCGACTCTCCTGGCTGACGACGATGTCGCCCGTGCCAGCATGGACGAGAACTTCAGGGCTGAAGTCCTGCAAATGCCCGCCATGACCATGATGCGCACTGGCCGCCAGTCAATCCACGTTCCGCAGACAGTCGACATGGGTTACGAACAACTCACCGGTGACTACCGTTCCCCGTCTCCTACCAGCGCAGGCACCGTCGTCCCATCCGTGTCCACCACCATGTCTCCCTTGACTGGATTCTTCCCGGCATCTTCGCCTTCGCCTACCACCACCATGTCGCCCGATGATCAGCTCCGTGCGTATGCTGCTCGCCGTGCCGCCTCTCCTCTCCCTCCTCAGCCAGCTGCGGTCGGTTCCCACCCCGGCATGCGTGTGTTGTACGATCCTTCGGCGCACCAGCAGGCCGCTCAAATGCCAAATATGGCCACTCTATTATCGCCTACCCAGCCGTTAACCATCTCCCAGAACAGCTCAAATAGGCTCAGCGTGATGACGACCAACCCCAACCGGCTGAGTGTTGCCACGAACAATCCGTTCCGTCAGAGCACCATCAGCCAGGGCGAGAGCGTTGGGAGTCGGTATTCTCACGCGGAGGTGAACCACGACGTAGAGGCGCACGAACATGTTCTGGTTGAAGAAGAGGAGCCGATCCCGCACGGAAGCGCGTTATGAAGGGCCTGAAAGATGTTGACCAAACGACTTCGCCGTATGATTGGCGGAACGGCGATGTATATCCTACTCGCGTCTCGATCTCTGTCTCCCGCCCCCGAGCGCGTGCGCTCGAGGGCATCACGCTCGTTCTGTATACATTCATACCTGCTCCTCTTTCTTTACTTACCTGGCCTGCTGTGGGATGCTTCTTTGATGTCTCTCCTTTCTTACGCCCGCTTGCAGCTGCTTAACTATCGCGACCTGTTTTGATTGACGTGGTACAGTACAGAACATACCGGTACTATTCTAACTCGCCTGGATGGCGAGTAGTTTTTCTTTTCTTTTCTGCGTCTCTCTTCTGAATCATAGGAGAAGGATTGTAGTCATTGTGGGGAGAAATTGACAGCCTGTTTCGTGGGACAACCCCGACACTGATGAAAAGTGTGATGAACGACCATGAGGTCTCAATGTGTTGAGCAAGGCTGTGGTTTCTGCGTTTGTGTTGGCGGTTCATGTGGTTTTTTGTTGATAATTCCACGCGGGAAATGAGGCAACAAGATGGTGAGTGGCGCGGAATCAAACCCGCCGTTCAGGGCCTCAATTGTAGTCCGTGCTGTAGTGTACTTGGATATCACCGGCCAGGGTGGAAACTCCGTTCCTCTGATACCGCATTCCACTATCCTTTTGACCACTTCTTTTTCTATTTGGCAAACGATCAGTAACCACCAATATTACCACAATTAGCAAAAGGTATATATACTAACGCTGGAATCGCCGGTAAGCGTCAAACGAATCGATTCGTTTTCAGATCGGACAAATGCTGAGGTGCCTTCTCAGCAGATTCAGTTGGATATCCCATTCGAGGGAAGAACGTGATCGTGAAGCAGCGGAGAAAGTCCATTCGAGTGCGCATACACCCGCTTTGCGCATACACATCTCCGTCTCGCGTCGACGCATCTTCGACCCCTCTCCCCACGACACGACCCCTAGGCAGATAGGGTTAGACGACACCGACGACGCCGTACCCCCTTTTCACTTACCACCACCTAGCGTAAAGCTGCCCTGGCACTCTGCTTCTCCTTCAACGTCTATAGCGACCCCAACTGCTCCCACGACTCCATCGGCGACATTGCAGAGCGCCCAACAAACACCACATCACAACGCACGAGCGACCGAAGACTACCGCGCAAAGCTCCTGCGCTATAAGGAGCCCGACATCGAGGAAGAAGAAGAGGAGATCTTTCCCGAAGACGACGAATCCGAGTTGGACGGGATGGCCAGAGGTGTCGCAAACCGTGGAGGTACGTTTTACGCTTCTCTTACTCTCTCGGCAACTGTTCGCTTACGGGTTCCGCTCACCCTTCTCCGACCTTCTCTCACCGCACTGCACTCGCGTCCGTGGCGATGCCCTATCTGTGGTTTTTGTTGACGTGCACTAGGCATGGTTGGGGCTCTCGAGAACTGGGACGACGACTTTCTCGACCAGTCTTCTCCCTCCTCCTCACCCAAAGTCAGCCGCATGGCCGGCGCCGGATCCACCTCCCCCGGTCCTTCCACCGGGATCAGGCCGCGGAATAGCATGGACAGTGCCGCATGGGATATGAGCAGCGATGATGAGGCTGCTGCTGGCAAGGACCCTTTCCCGGGTGCTTTGACGCCGACCATCGATCGTCCACCGCCGATGCCAAGCATACATCAAGCTCATGCTCGTGCAACTGCGACGCCCCGAGCCAAATCTCCTACCACACCGACCTTTCCCCCATCAGCAGCAAACATTAACTTCCCTACAAACATGAACGCCTATGCAGGCCCTTCACGCTCTGTTGCCGGAGTTGCACTGCGTCGGCGCTCAACACGCGATTCCCGAGCCTCTTCACGATGGGACGATTCGGATGGTGAGGCATTCTACACACCCCGCGACACGATGGTCTTCGATCAGCCAAGTCAGCAGAGCAGTGAGAGCCACTACGAGCCGACAGAGGAGACGCATGGAGAGAGCGTCAGTCGGTATGGACCTACTCCTGATCCGAGGAACAGCCACGGGTTGGTGCCGGAGGATGATTATGCTGGAGAGGCCGACGGCGAAGAAGAGGGCGAGGGCGATCGTACTGTCACACTCAACCGCGCACCTGTGCAAATCGAGTCGGAGGATGAGGACGATTGGGAGCGCGAACTCCAAGCCCGATATCACGGAGAAGGCGAGCACGATCAGCTGCAGGACGAGTACGACGGCATGCCTGAAACTGCAACACCCATGTCAGCTACCTTCCCTCCCCATGCGACAGACGTGCGCGTTTCTGCCTTCCCAACATCCACTTCTCCACCTCCGCCTCCTTCCCCAACCAATGGCTCTCGCTCGCGCTCTCAGCTTGGTCACATAGCTGGTCGACCTTCTATCGGCGGTGGTTCCTCCATCTTCTCATCATCCGTCAAGTCCACACAAGCTCTCATGGGCAAGTCGACCGCTCCTCCGTCCCGCTATCCGAACCGGCCTGCCGGAAAGGAAAGCGAGCGACCTCGCAGACGGTTGAGAAAAAAGAGCAGACCGCCAGAAGAGATGGGTATGACAGAACTGCGTGGAGATCCCTCTTCCCCAGCGTCGCATGCGCCACCTGGCGAAGAGGAGCATGGGGAGGAGATGTCTGAGAGGGCAGAGACGCCGTATGAGCATGAAGCTGAGGTAGAGCTCGAGGATCCCCCACCGCTCCCGACCCGCGCTCGCCTCGAACCTGTCCGACTTACTCCCTACACTGTCCCCGCTGCTCCGACAGGGCCACCAACACATGCTCCAACATCTCATTCCCGCAATATCTTCTCTCCCTCATCTTCATCTGCATCCCCGGGCGCATTCTTAACCCGGTTGTCTAGTATCACCAAGCTTTTCCCTCGCTCTGCGTCTTCTTCTTTCCGCTCTCCCGAGCCCCCTACAGCAGCTGCACGGCAGCCAAATCGTGCTGCCTCCGCGTCACCAACACCTCCCAATCCCTCCAATGGGTACCAGCAGTCATCAGTTGGACCGGTTATCCCTGGTCTACCAGTTGCTTCCGCAGCAGCAGCAAATACGGTATTTGGACACCGAAGAGGGAAAGGAAGTGCTCCACCCATCTTTTCAGGGGATAGGGACAAGGTGGATGAGATATTTGGTACGCGAAGGAACGAGGAACCGTCCTCTTCCCCTACTGGGGTAGAAGACGACACAAAAACCCCTGTGGACAAAAGGCCTCAGAGTCCTGTTCTGCTGTCGCACGATCCTGAAGGAGAGCAACACGTCGATCCTCAGCATACGCGCGACGAAATGGAGTTGAAACCGCCGACACGGAAGCTCAGTTGGAGAAAATCCTCAAAGTCTTCCGGTAGGAATACCGAGCGCGATACTGGAAGCCAAAAGACGGAACGACCAAGGTCGCAGACAATCAGCGGTGCATTGCCGGTACCTGTACCCCCTATCCCGCCACCACCACCTGAGTCAATACAAGTGCCAGTCCAACAGCCCCCAATTCCGGCCGCTCCCCCTCCTGAAGAGAAGAAGAAGCGCAAACCGCGGAAGCTGAGCCACCGTCGTCCACGTGGTAAAGAAGATGCCATCAAGCATGCACGGGACTCACTCGAGGGACACGCAGTTGCTGACATCAAGTCGGGGCACGAAGACGTGCCTGCACTACCTACTGTCCTCAGTGGGAAGACGCTTGATCTCCATGGTCAGAACGAGCCAATATCGCAGCCCGAGATGTATGAACATCCCATGTCCTCGTCGGCTGGCGAAGAGGTATCAGTCAACTGGTCGACGTCATCTCCGGTCTGGCCTGCATCTCCTTACTACCCCCGTGCATCCTCACCATTATCGAGCGCCCCAGAGTCGAGTAACATGTCACCCACCTCACCTTTTTCGCCGTCCGTTGGCACAATGGATAAGAAAGACTCGCAGACAAGTGAGCTCAAAATCCCCCACAGGATCAGTGTACAGCAAAGGAGCTTGAAAGAAGGGTTAACGGATGTGCGACTCTTTGCTGGGATAGTCGAGGGTATGACGCCTCAATCTAGTGTTGGAGTACGTTGCTGACTATTGGTGTCAGAACTTCGCGATCTGCAATCGCAACACGCAACTCTGCTCGCCTTTCTCACAGCCTCCACATCTGCTGGTCCGCCTGTAAGTCGCTTGCCAAGGGCGGCTCGTAGGAGCTCTGCCGCCTCCCAGCATCAGATTGAAGCCGGCCTCGCGAGACTCGAATCAGGCCCAAACACGGTATGGTGGGAGCTTGCCAGTGTCCTCGTCGATCTCGGTGGAAGTAGCAATACTGGTTCTGTCCGCGCTGCGCGAGACCGCATCGGCTCACGCATTGCCCATCGACGCCGCGAAGATGAGGATCGTGGGACGATGAGTGCCACAGAGGCAGAGCCCTCCCAGCGCTCTGGTAGACCTACCCCCCGTCCCAAATCTCGCTTGAGGTCAGCATCTGCCGCTCCGACAAAGTCTAGCCTTTCAGTGTCACCAACCTCACCTGCTTTGCCATCTTCTCTTGAGGCAAGTACACCGGTTCCAAGGAGTACATCCCTCGGGGCTGAGCGTATCGGGCAGCGGTCTGCAGAAGAGTCGCCCAAGGAGCTCAGCAGTCGTCAGCTTATCCTACTGGGAGAGATGCTTCGTGAGGTCGACACGACCAAGGTGGTTGACTACGCCGAGAGAAGCGAAACCAACGCTGCCAGGTCACGTGCTGCTTCTCGAGCTGGTCTTTCACAGGCCGGTCCTCCGACTTCGCCACCTTCACGACCGCCAACTCAACAGAGCTTCAATGCCTCTGTGGGGGGACCGCCTGAGCGGATCGGTCGTCCTCGAAGAGGTAGCAAGATCGTCGCCAACATTAGAGATATCTTCGCTGGCAATCGCAAATCTAAAGGCGACAGCGTTGATGTCGGCAGCACAAATCCAGATGCGGACGGCATGCAGGGTGCATCTCCACGTCGTCCGCTGAAATCCTCCTCTCGTCCTCCTACAATTCAGCCCAAAGGGGGTTCACGAATGGGGTCGTTGGACAATCGCAAATCTCCTCGAAAACCCAGCCTTGGTTCTCTCTTTGGGTCCCGGCAGTCGCACGAGAAAGGTGACCGCAGTTTGCCTCCTACCATCAGTCCGAGTCAAGGGAGACGGGCGGGAAATGGGAGCAGTACCTCCATTGACACAGACATCGAGTACGACAGCGAATGGGACAGAGTCGAGCACGGGAACGACGGCATACCCACTCTTCGGGGTCATCCTGCTGGCACGAACACGAACGGTGCCAGTGCGTCCAAGGTCTCTCTCCCGATATATGAAGCTTATTGTACGGCAGGCAAGCAGCCGTTGGCTATTCAGACGGCTTTTGAACGCGAGCGGACGCCCTCAATGAGAAGCGTCGAACGACCGCCGTTGGCCAGTGCCAAACTCGCACTGACCCCAGAAAACATCCGGCCTTTGTTGAGCCATGCAAAAGCTGTCAAGAAGCAATTGCAGGTATTCATACTAGAGTTGCGTGCTTTGCAACCTCCTCGCGGGGTGATGAAGCTGTGAAAGTGCTTGACTACCCGACCTTGGACATTCCATTTCTCTAGTCTATAGCTAGTGTCACATGAGTTTGCGTACATACCGATCATCTGTAGCCTTAAGTATAGCCCTGAGTATAATTCAACTTTGAGTGTTTCACAACGCATGTATGTTCACGTCCGCTAGCCAACCCAAACATTTGGCGGTGGATGCTCAAATCCAGTAGCCTCCCTGCCGATCATACGACTGGCAACGTGCATCGGTCGCTCTTGTTTGCCAGGCATGTTTCTAGAACTGACCATACCGTATCCTTGTCCCAGGAGAGGAGCTTTGCTTGCTTCTGGTCCTGGGACTAGCGCTCTGTATTGCCCTGTTTCATTCCATGAGCCCCATATAGATGTCATTTTCCAGTACAATACTCGACCACGTGCACGACCTAGTGTGCTGATCCGGCAGATGTTCCTTTGCCGTTTGTCCCAACATGCTATGATATTCGATTCTCATCTGATGACCGACTGAGGGCTACTGTAAACCCTATTGCACCGGTTTCCTCTAGTTGCGATTATCTACTTGTTTATGGGCAGAGAAGAGAGAGAGGGTCATTCATATGGTTGCGGTGCCTGAAGTCAGTCAACACAGTCCAAGTGGCGCTCGCCCAAATTGCTTCTATGCTTATATATACGCACACGAGCATGTCCAATTGAGTATACTACTGGTACAAATGCCAAAGAAAAGTTCAGCTTCTAGCGTAAATCACAGGGTTGCGACGGCACAGATATCAACCAGCCACAACGACGAAGTATCATAGACCTTTACAACGCTCTGGCAGCATACGTGGCATTCGAGGCATACGACGAGGCGTATGAATAGTTCGATTCTCTGCGGTCGTCGCGAATGGTTTCCACATCATCATCCGGTTCCGGAGTTACAGGGGCGTTGGCCGCTGTAAGATACGTCGAATTAGACTGAAGCGACGATTCTGATTGGCCGGAAGCTTCTCGATGTCGCGAAGGTCGCATTTCGTACTCTTGCGGTGGACTGAGAGTGTTCCCAACGCTTCTCTGTTTATTGTGTTGCTGCCACGGCGCTTGTACCGTCTCGATAGAATCTCGGGGTTCTGCACCAGATGGTGCAGTCAATGGGTTGCTAGAAGCAGCTGCGGACGCGGGAAAGGAAGGTATGTTCGGAGACGGTCCAGCACTCCGAATAGCAGAGGGAGAATAATAAGACAGTGGCACAGGAGAATGAGTGCCTGTTTGAAAATCGCCCTGAATTACAGGCGTTGTGAGTCCCTTTTCGTTAGAATCGAATTCGGCACGGGTAGGATTCGGACTGGGGTTATACGGCTGCGCTGAAAGCGGAACGTCTGATTCGGGATCGGATGTGTCCGAGGTAACCTCATCTCGGTTAATGGGTGTGTCGCTTCTGTCGCCCTTTCGACGACGGATGCCAAGTTTCTCCTTGAGGTCCCCACTGACCCACATTTCACGCACAATATCCTATTGGTGCGTATAAGTCGTGACATTATGTTCATGCTGCTGGCGGCACGTACCTTGTCCAACGGGAAGTACGCTTGCTGAATGTAGTTGACCAGGAAGCGAGGCACCAAAGCGATGGCGCCGACCAAGGCTACTGTTGCCCAAAAGTTGAATAACGGGAACAATATTGCAGACTCATCATAGAAGGTGTAAGTGATGAAGGCAGAATAGATAGCGATCCATAAGAAGACCAAGAGAATGGAGCCAATGATGATGACCCAGGTGATAACGGTCCAGCTGTTAAACTCCATCAGAATGTGTCAATATTGCAACAGCTTTGTACTCACTATTTGGTGTTGATGCCAACATAAATGTTCGCGGTGATAAGAGCAGCCACACCGGCTGTTGTGCCGAAGTCCGCCAGAGCCCCAACATCTCGACCGTTCCAAGAGACCGGATTACCCATCGACCAAACAAGGAAGGTGAAGAAGTACACAACAGCTGACTGATAGAGACCATCGAACATGTAGAACCAGAATTTGGTCCTTGTGTACTCCAGACCCAACACACCACGTTTGTACAGCTCGGGGAAAGCCATACCGGCTTTGGCATTCACGTCTTGATCGAAGGCTGTTTCCAGGTCGTCAGCACAGCCTTCATTGAAGGAGCTGCATAACGCTTACCGCCCATAACGATGACGGGAAGGGAAGTAAACGCCAGATTGTCTAACAGAATGAATGTATACTCGAACAGATAGGTCGCATCAAAGCTGCAAACGTTGTCTCAGTAGAGCTTCTCGCGATTTAATACAAGCTCACCTGTTCCAGAAAAGGAACCAAAACATCGCAACGGTCCAAATTACGTTTTTGTAGAAGAAGTTCGCGTGCATCTCAGCAATACGGATGTATGACCATCGACCATGCACCAGGAGCAGCTTTGTCAAGAAGCGGAATTGAGCAAATGCATAATCTGCAGACATTGCCGCCTGTGAACCCTCCTTTCCTAGCAGGCCGCAACCCACATGAGCTTCCTGGATCATGGCAACATCATTTGCGCCGTCGCCAATGGCCAGTGTCATAGCACCGCGTCCCTCTTTCACCTGGAAGAAATGTAAGAAAGGGCATTTACTGCACCTACAACACGTACAAGTCGGACAGTCAGAGCCTTCTGCGCAGGGGAAACGCGGCAGCACACTACCGTGTCGCACTGTGTCCCGAGCGTCAAGAAAAGAGGCTTGAGTTCCTCGCTAAGCGCGAATCGGAGAGTGTCACCGTCTATGACAACGGCGAACCCACTTGGACCACTGCTGTCAGACGATCTCTTTTCTGTTCTTTTGGAATGAATGATAGATGCGATCTTGTTTAATCCCCCTTCAATCTGGTTTCTCGCTTCGCTGGCGGAATCCGCTGAGATAATCATGACTTCCATGCTACTTGTCAAGAGATTACAGCTGAAACCTGACGAAGAAAACATATCAATGGCCGTTCTAGAGTCATCGCGTCTGTACGCACCGATTTCAATAGCAGTCTGTAGCTTGTCGCCGGTGAGGATCCAGAGTTTGATACCGGCCCTGTGCAATGTTTCGATTGCGTCGGGAACACCTTCCTGCAGCTTGTCCTCCAGGGCAGTCGCGCCGAGAATCGTTAGCGAATGTTCAATCTGTTCGTTAGCGTCATCAATCTTGTCTTCCCGGTCTTCCACAGATGCGGCCGCCTCCTCACTGACGCGCAGCCAATTCGCAAATTCTTCTTCAGATAGATATCGATATGCCACGCAGAGCGTACGGAGACCACCGTTCGCGAATGTGTCAAGATCCCTATGCGTACTGTCCTTGAGTTCCTGGTTGTGGTCGGGTGCCAGCCGCTGGTAGATCACGCTGTCAGCACCCTTGCAGTACAACACAATCTGACCCTCGGGATTTCGTACGATGACACTCATGCGCTTTCTCGTACTGTTGAACTCGAGAACGCGAAGTGGCTGGTATGATTCCACATTACCCAGCACCTGGATTTCTAACAAATCATTCGATCGAAGGAGGAAGGGGAAGCCAACGTCTCTTGCTGCAGACACGAGTGCTGCTTCATCGGGAGATTCGGCCTTGTAATTCACCAAGTAAGGTTGCTCGCGTGGCTCAGGCCGGTCCGGAAGAACAGTATGGCACAGTGCCAGAGCACGGAAGAAGTCAAGAATTTTCTGACTCTGCGGATTGCTGGAATCGCCCATGTGTTGGATGAGTTTGGGCGAGAGAAGAGTGAGGTGGTCCTCTTGGAGGTAAGGGTTTCGCCATCCAGATTTCATGGCGTCGATCATAGTTGCCTTGGTGCGCAGCAGCTCTGCAGCCTCCGCGGCTGGGTCTGTTGGAAGATGGTGGCCGGCGCGAATGGCCGCGCCTTTCATAGCTTCTGTGACACCCTCGCCGTATGGGACTCCATTGATAGAACATCGCTGGAACTCCATAACATTCTGGGTGAGGGTCCCAGTCTGTATCACTCGATCAGCCCATGTTAAAACGAAACAATGGTCAGGGATACCGTACCTTGTCAGAGAAAATGTACTCGATCTGACCCAGATCATCGGAGATGTTCCAAGTCTTGGGCACACAAGCCGAATCCAGGGGGGCATAATACATATCAACATCTTGGAAAATGAAGTATGCTTGAATGGTTTTGACGATCTCGATGGATATGTACAGCGAAATAGGCACGATGTTCTGGAACGCAACCAAGCAGGAGCTAGCCGAAAGCGGTTTAGTATCAAGCCATCTCATGATCAAGCATATACGTACACGAAGGTCACGATTGCGTTAACCACATTGCTGCTAGATGCTTCGGCGCCAACCTCAAAATAGTCGGCACTCGTGCCGGTTTTATCCAGAAAGACTCCGTTCACGATACCAGTGACCAAGCACATGATCATGAGGATCACAAAATTCATAATGACGTTGAAGTTGGTCTCCTTTTCGATCTTGCTACGTTTGGAAGGTGTGTCGCCGCCATTCAGAAGGATCTTGGTATCTCTGCCTGTGAATGCAACGAGGCCGATGACCCAGTCTGTATTGCGCAAGGTACAACCACGAAGAAGCAACTCGTTGATGGTCACAGGCTCAACCTTGTTCTCGCCCTGCCCAGATCCCGTCTCGTTCTTGCTCGCATAGCGTAGAACGGCTTTGTAGGTATAGAGATTCGCATGCGGCGGCTCAGAATCGATAACGAAGGTAGCGTGCTCGAGGTCTTCATCGCTAGAGATGGTACTGGTAGCCTTGAGACTACGCCGTGGCTTGAGGTTCGTCTCTCCATCCAAGTTCTTAGTTTCCACATAGCATAGACCGTCTGCGTCGGAAGTGCTGAGGACGATTATATCGGCCGGAACCTGATCGTTCTCTCGGAGAAGGACGATGTCTCCGACATACAGCTTCTTCCATAAAGTACGCTCCCACTGAGCAGTCCCGGAACTGCGATGCTCCCAATCCATAACTCCGGCCGAAGCTCTGGATGAATGGGATGACTCTGCGGCAGAGCTGCGTGTACGCGTCAGGGCGGCGTCCCCTTTGACCGGAATAGACGCCGTCGAGACATTCCCGCTGTATTGTGTCGGAGGATATAAATGGTCCTTTGTCACACATGTGGCATCATCCGCGTACGAGCGGTCTTCCACAGAGACGGGAGACTTGTCCATGAACGACGTGTCACTGCTCCGTACGCTACCCATTCCGTTGCTCTTGACGAGTACAAGATTTGCCAGACTCTGGTGATCTCGCTCGCGTAGCTTTCGCACACCACGTGTGATCTTGTCGGGATGAGGCACTCCGCGCAGCTTCTCGAACCATGTTCTCGGGTCCTTAGCACGGTTGACGTTCCTCCATTGACCAAGCTTAGTCGTCGCCGAGTTGTTCACCTCCTCATCCAGTCGCGCTCGACGATAGTCTTCGATCCCGTCCTTGATCGCAGTCACGCAGAGGATGAAGACTAAAGGCAACATCGCAATCTGCGGTGTGGCCGAACCGAACATAGGGAACACTGCATAACAATTTAGCAGGATGCTGCGTGTGCAATTCTGAGACGCACCCTGAAAAACCACAAGAACGAGGAAGTAGATGTTCGCTACTCGACGGAACTGTTCAAACAAGTTCTTAGGAATGAATGAGAGGATGGTGTATTCTACATGTCGGGTTAGTTCACAGTTCACAGCGCCGTGGAAGGCATGGACGCACTCGATGTCCGAATTTTGTTGCGGGGATAACGCGCAGTGAGATCACCGTGATGGTCCAGGTCACTCAACGGCAGATCTCCGTTGACGTATATTCTCCTTCTTTCACCGGTGAAAATAACCTTTTCACCCTCCTCGTCGCCTGCTGCACCTTGTTTCCGCTCTCTCAAAGATATCTTCCCCTTCTCAGTCTGCTTCTTGAAGAACTTCTTTAAGGCAAGTCTCCGCGTCTTTCGTCTCTTTACCATTCTCGCCTCAGCATGTACCGACTCGGCTAGGGTAGACGCGGCAGTTCGGACGGTCCTAAGACGCAGGTCGTTGTCGAGGCCAGCCTGGTCATCTTCTTCGATGGCATCCGAAATGTGACGAGGTGGCATGTTGGAATAGGGTAGGAGAAAGAAAGTGAGGTCACCGTCGCAGGGGCGTCGCAGAAAAGATGGACGACGAGCAAGCGGTGCAACGCACTGGCTGACCGCGCGGGTTGAATGGTGGACTTGGAGACCCTTCTGAAACGCGTGATTCTAGGCGCTGCGCAAAGCCGATCTTGGCGTCAAGCGATGCTGGATGTCGATTTCCTCAATGGAGGGCGTAAGAGATAGTTGATGAGAAGGCGAGGAAGGGAAAGAAAAGAAAAGAAAGAAAAGAAGTAAGAAGAGTTAATCAGAAGGAGGAGGGAGGGAAGGAGGTTACGGGACGGAAGGGTTTGGTCTAACGTGTGATGATGTGTCTGAACGGCTGGCCCATTGTCCCGGAGTTTAAATAAAGGACCCTGGGAAGAAATCCAACTTTGGTGATGAGTGTGTTCATCTCTACTCTCGGTTTTCGGAGGGTTCTACCCATAGCACGTTCTTTCCATTAAAACTCGACATTCTCAAAAGTAGAAACCTCCATGAACACGCCAGAACAAGGGATATTCTCCACCTTTCGGGGGTGTGAAAAGGAGCCTAGTACAGAGCTCCTCTCCAGACTGTGGAAGTCTTATTGGTTGGAACAAGTACTGCCTAGCACAGTCTCCAAAACACCAGTGTCGCGCATCAAACCAACCTGCGACTGTCCTACAGTGCCGTCTATTCATGTCTCCATGAAACATACACGAGAATTCGAGCTGTTTTCCCAACTCAAGGCCACTCACTTGCGCCAAGATACCATACTTACCGTCCGCGCATTGCAAGATATGCACGCCGAAGGAAGCCGGAACGAGCAGCAGCTCATCACCGCATACCACAAAGCATATGACAGTCAGCGACGTCCAATGTATCACCCGATCGAAGATCCCAAGGAGTTCGTACAGCTTGCAGAGAGGTTCAGTCGCGAGCCGCATGGAAAGCACCGGAGTTGCATTCTGACTGGTCAATCCGGAATAGGTGCGCAAGTGCTTGCTCGTTAATATCATGCTTTCTAACAGAGAAGCGACATATGTTCAGGCAAGACCCACACCCTATATTGCCTCTTATTGCTACGTCTGCACGCCAGACTGCCGACAGTCTTCCAGCACAATGAAGATTCATGGTACTTGTTCTCTGAAGCTGGAGTGCACGCATTTGACAACAAACGCGATCGGTCTATATTTAAGGATGAAACATTGGTCTCATATCTGCAGCGCAACGAAGTGTGGATCCTTGTCGATTCAAACAAAAAACTGGTTGAACCGAGTCCCTTCTGGTGGCGTATTGTTCGCACGTTCTTGGTTGTGGTAGCATCTTCTCGTCTGAATCGCTTCGAATGGGCTCAAAAATGTTCTCCTACACTCGAGATGTTCTATATGGATGTTTGGTCTCTGGAAGATCTAATCATCGGGTAAGTCACGTAGTATCATTATTTTGGACATCACACATCTAACTCTTTATTCACGCCTAGACTTTCCTTCCAAGATGACCTTTTGGAAGGTGGAGAAGCTCTGCTACACAGGAATTACATGCGCTTTGGCCCATCTGCGCGAAGCGCCTATCAGTCATGTAACGAATCGCAGTTTAAGACTCGGTCACTAATGGTCAAACGCTATGTCGAGCAGCTCATCGCATACCTGAAGCTGACAGAAGGTTTGCAACGTTCGATGTTGCCTCCCCGTATGTCGGACAAATGCTCGGCATACATCTCCTTGAATTCCAAGGAATGGTAGCCTAATCAGCTCTATCTTTACTATCTCGGCGTGGCGCGTTGGAGAATGGTAAGTGAGGGGTGCTTTTGGACCAGCACGTACACGAGAAGTTCACCAGCCGTCGAAGATCGATTCCAAGATCGCGAGGTATAGAATTTTGGCGCAACTACCCGCTGCAGAACGGTTTCTGCGCCTTGGAGGAGACCACAAGGCCTTCAAAATCGAAAAGAAACGTGTCGAGTCAGCAGCAAGGGGTAGGCTATCTAGCCGGAGGTACAAGAGCGGCGAAACAAAATTGGACGCGAACATTCTGTGTATACCAGCCTTCTCCAATCAGTCAACCCTCGACGCTTTCATCCTTAAGAGTGCACCGGAGAACTGCACGGCCTTAATCATCCAAGCCACGGTTGGTGAGACGCACGGAACGAGTCCAGCCGGTCTGAGTTCGCATATCTCATAATTCCTACAGTGTTGGATCCGGAGCTACAGGAGAAATATCATATAGTCATTGAAAATCTGGAGTGAGTTGTATGACGTTCTGATACATCATCATGCTATGCTGTCAAATTCATAGTCTAACACAGCATCATGTCCCTGTCAGTGTTGTCTGAGGTCCTCAACGTCTGCCGGAAGCGTCCCAATATCCTATGGACGCTCTCCTTCAATTGCATTGTCTCCTATATCATTTATTGGATTCGTGCTAAGGGGAAACCAAGGAACGGTGAATGACATAAAACTGATTGCGGATGTCGGCAGTCAACCTGGAAATAATTATGCCCGGACTCTAATCCGTTCTCACTCTGCGCCTTTGTTGCTTCTCCCGTAAATTCGTTTCTGGGTATTGGAAGCACTGCATATCTATCATGCTATTGTCGACGTCATTGTCGTCTTTCACCCCTTATTCTCTGAGCGAGCCCATTGTACGCTCATGATCACTCCAGGCAGAATTCCATACGAAGGATTCTTTTTCCCTCAAGGAGCACCTCAATCAAGTCACATTTTCAGGCGATCGAGACCTCTTGACACCAGATTTCGTCGATCTGCACTGATTCTCATGACACAAACGACATAGTTGGCGCAGCTCTTAGGCGGTCGCGTTGCTGCGCACGTCGCGCAAATCAAGGACTTCAAGCGCATTAATGTCAGGTATGAAGATCTCATCTTGTACTATCAGTTATACACCAAACCACTGCATACATACAGGACCAGCCTCCTTAACGAGAGATTTTCAGGTCGTATTTGTGCTTCTCCTCGGTATGGCTAGAAATACCGCTGCCAAACCTCTTCGACAATGTATGTCACTCTTCGCAGGGGGCTGCCCATTGCCTGTGGGACCACAGTGGGCAATGTATTCACTGGATGCGGTACATATGGCAGATTGCCACCGGAGAATGCTGCACCGGCATTGGGATGAGCAGGAGCAACCCCAGCAGCTCCCGTGCCTGGAGCAATCCCGGCAATTGGAGCAACCGGAAATCCGAGAAGCGATTCAGCTGCGGTTGCTGGTGATTGCCCGCGGTGCCATGCTCGGAAAATGGCAGCGACAGCTGTTCGTGTTCAGCACAAGGCGTCTTTACCACTAAGCACGAACGCACCGAGCCAGAATAGCCCGAAAGCGCCCACCAATAACAGTTCCTCCCTGGCTGAAGACAACAACATTCCACCTCGCCGATAATCATTGTACAACCTGGACCAACCGGTCAATATACTCCTTCACTGTACATATGCGGATCACTTACAAACTCGTCAACCATGACAGCGCCATGAAGCCCACGAGCACCTCAATCCATCGCAGAACAGCTACCATCTACGTAAGTTCATGCTCTTAACTGCGTTTGTTGGCCGTACTAGGGGAGACCGGGAGCAGGGGCATGAGAAAATGAAGGGAGAATGCTGCAATCAGGCCTGGCGGGATCGTTAGCATAATGGCTCAACCGTTGCTTTTCTCCTCACCATAAGCGGCAAGTCGGACGGGGGATGCGGGGCGATAGGGAACGTCAACCATGTCGCGTTCGATATGAAGTTCTCTAACTGGAGGTGGTGGTGGGGTCTGATCAGCAGAAAGCATCGCTGGTAGGATGAGCTGGTTGCGCGGATCCTATGCATATGTCAACGAGGTTGGCACGAGGCGTTTGCGGCGTTTGCCTCATGCCAAACAGGGTGCCGCAGGTGCCGAGAAGCAATTACCATACATGGTCATAATGTTACAGCTAGCTACTAGAAACTGCGTGCCCCCCGCTGCTGCAGAGCTGTCAACCCCATATGAGCTGTCGGATGATCTCGCTGTCTTCCGGCTCGATCGGCAAGTCTCGGGCACGTACACCATCGAGCATATGCTTCTCGGAGGTGCTGCCAGCTAGTGGTACCACACCGAAACTTTGAGCAATGGCATAAACGGCTTGCGCCGGAGTGCACTGGTGCTTCAAAGCAATGTCTTGTAGAAGGGGATGACGGAGCAAAGATGGTGAACCGGTCAGCGTCCAGAATGACCTGTCCACGAAGGTAAGCCCACTCCTTATCAACGTCACGCAAGTGTCTCGTACTGGTATTTGATGTCGTTCTCATTGCAGTAGTCAAGTACATCCTTATCCCAGCCATTCCCCTCGAACCATCGATTCTGCACCACATTCACCTGCGCTTCTCGCTCGAGGGCTAGAAGTGCACGAATTCGGTAGCAGTTGCTGATCCCAATAAGACCGACCTTTCCCTCTTGCTGCAGTTGACGCAACGCTTGCCATGCTTCTAGAGTCGCTTCAGGACTGTCTAAGGGTGAATGGAGTAAGAGTGAATCGATGAATCCTGTTCCAAGGTTCTTCTGCGAGAGCGCAAACGAGGTGCGAACCTGTTCGCCGATGGGTGTTGTGGGATCATAAGGAAGAGGCTGAGACTGATCTTGCCCACCAATCGGAGTGTATCTAAACACTGATAAGTCGCCACCCCATTTGCTTGGAGAGTCGAATACTTTGTTTGAATGAACAATTCTTCGCGCTTTATCCCGTGACTTTCTTGTAGGATACGCAGCGCCTCGCCAACAAGCTCTTCGCGATAGTGTTTTGGTTGACAAGCTGTGTCGATGCCCCGAAAACCCTGAAGAACGGCTTGAACGATCAGCTCTGTTGTCCGCTCCTTCTTCCTGAAGAAGCGAATCAACAGTCCCCACTTGTTCATGAGCCAATCGCCATATTTACCAGGCGGTTCCGTACATGATCTTCGGCATCATGAGGGTTGTCATTTTTACAAGTTAGGCACGTCGCTCCCGCCGATAATCCACGTTGAAAGTGAGTGGAATAGTTGACCTGTGATCGAGCGCGGTACAATTTGAAAGCCTGCGATCGAAGCGCAGTACAATTCGAAAGCCTTGCGCAATGTAATATTGAAAAGAGATCGAAGTTCAAACCGGCGCTAACTCAATTCTGGAAGGGTTCTGATATCGGCTAAGACTGAAATTCACGTTCTTGCCTCGTGTTTCGGCCTCGTGCATTCCTCAGCACTGCACAGCCACATACCACGGACGCCGACCTTCGGGTCAGCACGAGGCTTTCTAGGCTGGACACTCCAGGGGCATTCAACATCCCTCCATTTTTTGACGTGGGGCCGCCGCCGTCGTCTCCTCTCCTTCTCCTTCATACCCCTCGACGACAATGTGGAGCGCTCGTTGAATTTTTGACGTCTATCATCCACTTCTAGACCAGCCTGGCGTATAAAAATATCTACCTGGTCCGGTAGTCTTACCGGGACCTGTGGATATAAGAACCGACCGGTGCCATCGGTCGGCGGACAATCTACACGTGTTTGTTATGAAAAGTCGTCCGCTTCCTGATTCCGCACTCCTCGAACCATCCTCGCTTGGGCCGCCCTCATCCTTCAACCTATAGACACCTGCTGGCATAGCACCAACACCCCCCACACCTCTCTTCTTCTCCACCACCATCACTCCCTTTCGCACATAGTTATGGCTTCACGACGTTCCTTGCCCATGATGAACGTCGTCAACTTGCTCAGGTTGATCGTTTTCTGTGAGTCCTCAATAGGTCATCTTGCCATTGAGCGCTCACATTCAATCACGTCCAGTTACTATCCTCATTTTTGGCCTTATCGTAATGGGCTTAACAGCCCATTTCGCCGAGATCCTTGTACCATCTGATCTAAGTGAGTCTTGTTGACCTAGCATACGTACATGAGCTTACTCGTTTGCTAGCTCGATTTGTCACTGTTGGACTGGTAGTATCTATCATCACGCTCATCATCACGACAGCAATGTGAGTGGACTATGTGTGTCCTGGTGTCCGACACTAATAGTCTTCCAGATTTCTTTTGGGCATCTTTCGCACGTACATATATGCCGCACAAACGAGAATCGAACTTGCATGGCTTGGTGTCCTAGCTGTATTATGGATGGGTGCGCGACCTTAACCAGTCTTGGTGATGAGTCACTGACCCCTGAACAGCTCTTGCCGTATTTTTATCAGCGTCTGCAGACGTGGAGATTGATTGCGCTGATGCTGGAGGGGCGATTCAAGAGAATCAGAGCGTCGGAAGTAAGCAGATTCTTCTTCAGCATATCGAGACAGTTGCTGACGGGACTCCGCTCAGTGACATCCGATGAATTCGAAGCGGAGTATCGCGCCATGCAGGCGTGTTCATTTATCAATGCCATTCTGCGTACGTATGGAAGTTCCTCGAGTTTGACCTGGCTCTCATCTGTGACCAGTTGTTGCCTGGTTTCTCCTCCTTTTATCCTTTGCTGTGGCGCATCACTTTTCGGGTTATAAGGAAGTGTGGCGAACGCCTGTTGCCGACTACGGCTGGTTCATTAACCCTCTTGGTTCCCGTCGCCGGCGGGCGATGGATGAGAAGGTCAAGCAAGCTCTTGGTGGTTTGTCCAGCGAGACCTCTCTCTCGACGGAAGAGGAGATTCTAGGACGATCACGCACAAGACACCGGGTCAGGGAGCGGGACCGGGAAGCAGTAGGACGGAACGCTCTCCTTCCCGTCGCGTTGTTTCGTCCTTTCTACGCAATTCCAGAGGGGGCTACCAACCGACCTAAGCCAGCACGTGCTGCTACACAGCCTATCATCGACATATCTGCTCGACAGACAAACCCTATCCATGCACTCGGTTCAGGTCATCCAGCCAGTCGCCCAACAACACCGGTGCGACCTGCCCCCCCCGTGCGAATGAACAGCACCCCACAACCCGGCAGACAGGCCACCCCACCGCTTGTGACCGCGTTGTCTCGGAATGTTTCAGCTAAATCAGCGCAGACTTTCATGACGGCCAAGTCGGCACAGTCCGCGCGGACACCAGTCGTGCCTTCGCAGCGACCTCGCACACCTGTAACCACGACGCCCCAACGCCCTCGCACACCTGTTACGGCAGGGCCACCACGCCCCAAGACACCAGTCAATGCTGTGCAGCCTGCCCGCAGCGCCGTGCCACCCACGCAGCGACCTCGCACGCCAGTTTCAACGTCACAACCGGGGCGTCCACCAACGCAACCAGTCCGATCTGCATCACAGACAGCAGTACCACAGCGAACAGGAAGTCAGTCATCACCAATTAGACCGGTTGTTGTTCGGACAGCAAGCACACCCCAGTCGGCACCCGCGGGGCAACCCCCCTCTGCTCCGACCTCCCGAGCAAGGCAGACTTCTTCTAGCCAACGTCCCCGACCACCGCCGATTGTGACGACGACTTCCGCCGCTAAACAACTTCCCAGTCCGGTTGCTCCCCAGGCAGTACGATCTCCCCCAACCACAACCCTCACGCGCTCCAATACAGGGCCTGCATTGACCCGAACGGCAGCCCAAGTTCGTGCAACACCATCTCGGCCACCAAACGCACCGAATGGTGCACGCCCACCACCAGTCAGAACTGGATCAACCCCACAAACTGGTGCAGCAACCGCAACAACGTCTCGACCACCCTTGTCGAGGTCACAAACAATGGCTGTTGCGATGGCACGGCCTACAGCCACAACCCCGACCACCCCACGTCCAGCTGGCCCCAGGTCACCGGCACAATGGCAAGCACCGCCGGGACGCACCAACACGCTGGCTGTGCCAGTTACAGTTGGCCGAGAGGGCTTAAGAAATTGGAGTCGAAGTCCGGTAGGCCGGATGGTGTAGATCAATGACTTGCAACTCTGTAGAATACATGGCCTCCCAATTATGAAATATATAAGTTGCGTTTTCTCTGACGTACGCACCGCACTGGCGGCGAGGAGTGCCTGGTGAACCCTATTTGCGTTGGATCCTTTGCAAAAGGGACGAAGTTGCTCCAGGCAATAGGGTATCACATAATAACCCTAACCACACCTCAATGTTAACCTTACACCTTGCTGGAAACTCTCTATCAATGCAATTTGTATTATAATGCTATAGCTATAGTGAGTATGGCCACACCCAAGTTAGCAAGGTCTATAACTGGGCATTGCTCACCAAGCTCATGCAGGGCATCTACAAGGGGGTGATACAAAGTGTGCCCTATACCTTGTGGGAGAGGATAGTGCAGTGTATCCTCTCCTTGCTTCCCACTTCCTTGCATCAGGCAAGAGGGCTGATAGGCATGCAGGATGGCCCAGCTTGGGTTGTTTGTCAGCCTGATCTATGTCATCATCCTTGTTGTGGACTGCTTTTGGTTTGCACTGCTTGAGTGTCAGGGCACCAGCTCATTGCTTGGTCAAGAGACATGACTAAGCCTTTATGACATGGAAGTAGCT